CGATGTGATATGGTAATGGGCACACAGTGGGGTATTAAGCGACGGTGTAACGTTGAAATGGAACGTCGAGAAAATTCTAACTTGGCTATTCTGTTTTAACGTCGTCTCAAAAGTGGCCAATGTTCTTATTTGCATACAAATTTCAAACGAAGAATAAAAGATGGACTCTGTTTGAATGGATGGATTCTGTTTTTGCAATAACAAAATATGCCTGTCAGCGTTGTCATAGCTGACATATATCAGCATAAATATAGAAAATGATTGGTCTGTTTACTCGACAGAGTGTGGACGCTCGAGTGTCGAGCAATTAGGGGTTGGATGAGTCACGGGTCGAATGCCAAAAACCACCACATGGTCTGGGACCTCGATACATAACCGTGGAAGGGAATCATCGTTCGTTGGAATTACCCGAATGACGCTAAGTCTCGATGGCTGGGTCTCGTTAAGGTGGATCTGCATAATTGCATACTTTTACTTAAATTTCGTATGTATCTTATCGCAGTCTGTATACTTTTTCCTCGGCCTGGTTCATGCTTCTGTGCAGTCGAAACAAATTTTCTTTTAGCCATAACAGTGACAACATTAACGACACTCATAGAAGTGGTTCGAGTGAAATGAATTTTTCTAACAAAATGTCACAGAGATAATTACATTTCTATGATCTGTAAATTATTTAGTATTTAATACTGCAAGTCACCGATAACTGACGTGGCGCTTAAAGTGCCAATGGACATACGTCGACTCCATGTAAAAGAAACTTTCATACGAGCTTTCGGTGTAGGAAAAGTAGTTCCAGTACCTTCTTAATAGTAAGAAAAAAGAAAACGTAATGTTCTTTAATATCAAATACTGTTGGTGCAACATTTTTCATGCAATAGGGACGGTTAGGTCTGAAGCATCGACGTCCAGCAAGGGTTAAGAGCGATGTTGGCTAAGCCCTGAAGTGCTTTCGTTAGTGTCGGATCGATGCATCCATAAACAAAGCAGATCAGGGGATCCTCATGACATTTGAGCCCATAGGAAGCCAAACCGATCGACCCTCTTTAAATCACTCGATTGGAAAAAAGCTTCGCGAAGCAATATCGAAACAAAGCTTGAAACACACCTTCTTTACTGTTTATTTCACGGAGTTGGCAAGTTTGACCTCTTGGGGGATCGTTTACAAGATGGTCTCGTCGTATAGTTGCACCAAGTGACGGAAGGGTGCATCGGTTCGTGATATTCAGCCACAGGCTCGTAATTTCACAACTGTTGGAATTCCAACACCAACGAAAGCACTCAGGAAGTGCTTCACTTCCAAAATTCACTTCCAAATCTCGAAATTACGTAGTTACACCCTTCTGGCACCGAACCACCGTCCTCCTGATTTTATTTAGGTTCGGAGGATTTGGTTTGCCTACGAGGCAACCAATTTCTAAACGTAGAAAATCAAGAAAGCGAGCAGCAGAAAGCGCAGAAATAAATAGACTCGAGGGAAACCGATCTGAACCGATGGAAGAGACCCTGAGCTAAGCTAGCTAAAGAAAGTGTAGAAATGAAGCAACCCTGAACGATCCTCAGTCGTCCTGCAGGACCACCGTAACAGCTGTCCACTGGGATCATAGGGCCAACGATCGCCTGGATCGAGGAACCGATCGCTATCATCGAACAAAACCGGTTAAACGCAACCGTGAATGACGTTCCAGCGATTGCACCATGGTGCAATCGTCGTGAACTGGAATCGTCCACGCGGGGGTCGATGTTGCTCCTCGATCGGCTTCGCGGGGGCTCGGCTGTGTGAAAAATGAGGATATCGCGATGACGAACTACACTCACCCGAATCGACGCCGACGGGTCGAATAAGAGGTCCGTCCTCCGTCACTCCTCCGACCATGTTTGGCCACGTTTCGCTCACGTTATTTGGACGCTTTTATCCGCGTATGTCACACGGCCACGGCGCACTGAACGAATATTTACGGTGTGCGGACCGTTGGTGGTATTCCGTGGCGACCATCGGACGAAATGCTCGATCAATAGTAACGGCGTGAGCTTGCGCGGAATACGCGCTTCTGGAGAGGAACCAACGACGACGACGACGACGACGACGACGACGGCGACGACGACAACGACGACGCTGGAGACGATGTTGTACGTCGGTGAACGGTTGGGGGAAGGGGTGCACCCGCAGGTAACTAGGATTAGAGATCAATCTTCTGCGCTGGAATTTTTCTAAGAATTTTCTTTTTAATTATTATTATTTTATGCTTTTCTTTAACTTATCGTATGTTTGGTACAAATAGTGATGAATTAAGTAACATTCGTTCACTGTGAGACCTTGCAAACAAGAGCATTCTAGATCATAGATACAATGTATAGGATAAAACTAAAAAATTTCACGAATCTTACTATTTATGGAGATTTGCAAATTTTGTATCGTAAATTATATGCAAAGACGCGAATGATGAGCGTATCTAATAGATCAACAAGTATAAGAACACAATAAAGAATTTCAGGGCAAGAGGAGAATATTTGAGAATAATGATTCATAACTAAAAATTTTGCGATTGTTTGCTGGAAAAGAATCGTCGAGGAAAAAAGGGGTGTTCGCAGGTACGTGGATCCCAGGGTAGGTGACAATGCACCCATGGAAGGTGCATCTCTGGACGAATCGATGCGCTATCGAGGCGAAGCTAGTCTCGCGTGCCAAAACTGGCCCCATAAATAAATAACGCGACGTTTTTTCGCATGATGTGGGTGGCTAACAGAGAAATTCTATGAAAATTCTGTGAAACGTTGATGGCGATATTTTAAAATATAATTGTACGGAAACGATACACTTGTAGTTATAGAATCGCGATACAGCTCTCAATTAAAAGTGTGATTGCGATAAATAAATTGTGTTCTCGCATTTATTTACATCGCTGAATTCGCAACGGAACAAATTGTCGAAAAATAATTTTTGTCGGACGGGTAGTAGATAATCAATCTATATTTATATTTGGGCGTGGACTACGGTGCAATGGACCCTTCTACGTGAAATCGACTTGTCTAGTTGAGTAGACGTCGATTTTGTCGAATAAACTATAAACAAGAATAACATTGTTGGAAACGTGTCGTGTAATAATCCCCTAACGTAAAATCTAATCGAATGTCGGACAAAAATGATATAATAATCATTTAATATATACCGTATAATTCATACCATTTGTGTTATATCAAAAAATGAAATCCTGAAGCCCCTCGTTAAAATGACCTAGAACTCATTAACCCCTTGGTGTTCTTAATCATAATATTTTTTCAAGTATACTGTCTACTGTAACATGTTATTTAAGAGTTATTTAAGTTTACGAGGGCGTCAAAGCCAAAAGTTGTTACTTCAATCCCCTTCGGAGTGGACGCGAACCCGAGTTCTGTTTTGAATTATCGATCTACATTAAAGGCAATGCGCGGAAGATAATTCATCCATGTGTCATCTGTTACCCTGAAGCATCTAATTGGGTGGACAAGTTAGCATACGTACGACGAAAAGGTACGCGAAACAAGTTCAATCAAGAATAGATCGAGATTGCATTCCCAATGAAAAATCCTTTATTCGTCAATCGCGACGAAACCATCGCAATTCGTCGAAAATTAGGTATTTTCGTTACGATTCTATTCGTATCGAAGCTATCGAACTTCCTGTCTTTCAACAGGAAATTCTAAATCGGTCACCTCTCGCGAATTCTCCAACTTCGAATGATTAACGAGTTTCAAATATGGACTCCTGTTCGAACGACATTTACGTCCAAATTGAAACGCTGGTAAAAGATATCGAATACGTGTTATATACATCTGATATATACCGTGACGCGTTATTAACTTTCTCGTTTATCCGGACAGACTCGTATTTTGTTTCTGGAAAATATGTACGACGATGTTCGAGGAAGAGGTATACTTCTGTGAAAGATCGCGATGCAGCGTGTGCATGCAACATCCGCTTGTACTTTTCAAACGAGTTGACATCGCCGAAATGAAAAATGACGAGTACAGTTCCGAAGCTTTCAACGAAATAGTCGTCGAAGCGACGAATTCTAAAAGAAATTAGTTGTCCAACATTAGAAACGAAGCTTAGGTAAACGAGAAAGATTGAAACAAAACAGATCCACGTCGTGATTGTATCGATCAAGAGAAAATTGTTTCTTGGAGATGTAGCATCAGTCGATTCGAAACGAACGTCTCTGTGATTAGTTTCTGGTGTGATGGACGTTTGTAGACCAAAGTAAGCACACGCGTGTACTAGGAATATTGAGATAATAAACTATAAATATCGATACAGTGGATCCTCGATTTTCTAAACATTTTACTTAGGCGATCCAAACACGATAAAGGATTTAACATTCGAGATAAAGGATTTAACGTAATTTAACGATAAGTGAAGAATAGCACTTCAGTGACAATCGTAATAAAAGTAAACGAATGATAATGGCGTTAGCTGTGCGAATAGAGTCTGTTCAGCAAACGGTGTGACTCTGACCCTACTTTCGCGGTTACGCGTTAAGCATAGCCAAAGAGTTATCGTCGCTCGCCTTTTGTCCATTGCATCATCGCTATCTTATCCGTTATTCGTCCATGACGTCATGCGACATGAACGGAGTATGCGCGTTTCGGTTTCTGATATCACCGCGGATCCATCCGAAAGCATGGTTCTCCTGAGCGCATGTTTACCTGTGATCGACCAATGGCACTACGGGAACCTTGTTACGTCATTACCGGTACACCATTCATAGAGGACACTTCAAAAGTGATGGACACGATTTTAAATATAAAATATTATTCGTTTAAGATATTATGAATTCAGAATACCAATTATGCAACAAGGTTCTGTTTCATTTATTTAGTCGAAATACAAAAATGAGCAAACTTTATGAGGGATATTTTGAGTAGAAATGAAATATTACGAAAAACTTGAAAGAGTCTGTAAGTCTGAGTGCTACGAGGTCTGCGTCAGCTGGTGTCTGCGCAGAAGACAGATATCGAGTGGTTTGTAGCGTGGACTGGTAGGAACGATCAGCAGAGTATCAGACCGGCTTTACGAGCGGCTCGATATAGCCAGACGGTGTGTGCGCCTGTCGTGGAACGCGAAAAGGCAGCTATTCCGCTCGACGGGTCCGACGCGAGTGGAATAATTAATCGAATACCGCGCGAAGCATCTACGCGAGTGTATTTTCTTCAAACATGGGCCTCAAAGATTTTCGGATAACCTTCGACAATCCTTGGAGCACCTACTCGCCAGGACAAACGGTCAGCGGAAATATCGTCGTCGTGTTAGACAGTACGAAGAAGATTCGCGGTACGTTGTACCTGTAATCACGATTTTTCCTCGTGGGAATGACTCATTTTATTAGTGGCTGTAATTTGCACGCTGGCGAAATTCAACGATCGACAGGTGTCACATAATATTCTTGATCCAAGCGTATTTCGCGGGGATCTCTCGTGCCAGATCGCGATGTACCCACTCGAGCGTAAGGAGAATGTGCTGCATATTCCGTGATCATAGGAAACACGCGTCGATACTTGTTTCATGTGTCGATGAATGTTTCATTCTGGATATATTTTATATTTTCTCCTGGGGCCATTTTAGTTAACGAACGGGGTGAAAAATTATCTCCTTGGTTTCACTTCCTTGGGAAATTTTTCTTTTGGCAATATTTTGTATTTTAAATTTAAGGGGGACCCTAACTCGAAGGGTCGAAAATGCGTTCGCCTATCAAGCCTAACAAAGACACCAATCTGACAGAGAAGTGCTTCTAATCGTGCAAGTTAATTAGTACAATAATGTTTCGCGCTGTCGGGTTCGTCATTGAGATATTTTCATCTGGACAAGGACGCATAAAAAGCTGGGAAAGGAAAACAGGGAAAAAGACTACTTCGAAAATGCCATAGTTCGTCGAGTTATGCGAGTGGTTGCTCCTGGATCAAATTTACAATTCCACGACACGAATTTTTTGAAAAGGTCTTTTCACTTTTCGCCAACAAAAACATCCTCGCCTTGTTACTCGGTAACGTAACATAAAACATAAAATATTGTGTACGTGCTACTTATTAATAAAACGAAAGAAACTTTTGGTTCACCTTGATGGTTCCGAGGAGTACGGTATCTACCTAGAGAGGAATTTCGTGGATCTTTCTATTTCGAGTTTTGTTCTAATTCGTAAATCTGGTGTACATCACGGAATTGTTGTCGCCGCATTCTCGCGGCGACTTTTTCCATCCTGCAAGGTGTAGTTTAATAATAGCGCGACCGTGTACGGCACCCGCACAGTGGAAACGGACAGCAACGATCAGCCGTGGAACTTTTGTTTTCGTCACGCTGTATCGTTCTCGTAACGCGTTATGTACACATGTTGTCCTTGCAATTACATCTCGTGGAATATTTGTTCTACTTAACGATATTTTTCTCCGTTTCATTCCTCTGGATGTTTGTGAGAATATTCCACTGAGCTTACCATTTCATGAGCGTATTTTTTTCAATTTCTTCGGTCGATTTATTTTGGTCCTCTCCAGAAATAATATATGATATCAATAGAAGGAAATGTGGAAGCAGAGTACAATAATATAAACTTGATAAAATAAGGAAAAACAGATAGATGTACGTATTTCAATTTTGTTACGATTAAAAATGCTAAGTATACATGTGGTACGCGCGTCTCTGATTAGTATCATAAATATGTATGTTGTTTTTTAAGAGATAAACACAATAAAACATCAAATAAAATGTTTCGAACGCTTTTTATTTTTGAATAAATGTTTTCAATGTGCATTTATCATCGATATAACGTCCTGCATCCGTTAATATTCGTCTGCGTGTAGTTGTTGCGCCATTGTTTCGCATTAGTAATGGCAATCTTTGTCCCCTTCGTATTATCCGTCTTGATTCAATTCTCTGTTTCCGGTCGAGCAGCTTCCCACTGCTCTGGCTAATAATTCGAAGCATTTCTGGCATCAAAATATCAAATAAAATGAATGGATAAAGACTATTAAGTCGTTCGATTTTGTAAGTTGACTTTTTTTATTTTACAGGAATATGCGTAAAAGTAAAGGGTGTCGCGAACACATGCTGGACAACCGACAAACAGGAAATGGACGACAGGGGCCAGTATAGAGAAGGAACTCAGACGGTCACGGGTCACGAAGAATATTTTGAGACAAAGTATTATCTGGTTGGATCGGCTTCTGGTAAAATTCCAAATGAACATATGCGTCTATTAGTATTTCTCGCATAAAAAAAACTATGCATTCGTCAAACTGTACTTAACAACCCCTTCTGTGCCTTCGCGAGTGTATAGTAAAAAATACTATTTTTTTTTTTTTTTTTTTTTTTATAAGTATACATCGATCTTATCTGTCGCAGATAGAATGGAATTGCCAGAAAAAGTAATTGATTGATTATCGAGCGAATTGTACCGAAGGTTTCAATGAATTTCTTTCTGTTCTCCAGGGGGTGAGATCGAGATACAAAGCGGCGAGCATAAGTTCCCGTTTCAGTGTGTTTTACCAACCAATTTGCCGAGCAGTTTCGAGTCCGATTTTGGGCATGTTCGATACACTGTCAAAGCAATATTGGATCGTCCCTGGAAGTTCGATCAGGAAGTGAAGAGTCCCTTCACGGTGGTGCTACCCCTTGACCTTAATCTCGAATCGAGGGCTTCGGTAGGTATCGTCAAGCTTTTGGTGAAAGATAAGCTCGAATTTTATTTTTGGGACAATAAATTTTAAATATTTCTAATAACATGTTTCTGTGTTTTTTAAAATTTGTTTTCTTTCAGGAAAGAGTCCAGGAGGAGATGACTAAAACATTTTGCTGTTTATGCTGCGCGACTGCACCCTTAACAGTGAATTATTCGTTACCTGTCAGAGGCTACGTGCCAGGCCAGACGATGCCAATCAAACTCAACGTTGAAAATGCATCGAGTGTAACAGTGGACACTGTGAAACTCGTCCTTTGTAAGGTATGCGGATATTACGTGTGTTGATTTAAAGTAAGGTGAGATTTCTCTTTCTATTTCTATTTATAAAATAATTGAATTCCACTTGAGAGCTTTAAGCTTGATTTTCTCGAGAAATTTCACCTTCCTGTACGACAAGCGTTTACGTGGCGCAGACCATTTGAAGATAACGATGAATCGTGAAGTCTAGATCGTAACTTTCCGTGCAACCACACCGAGTACTGACACGAGAACAGAAGAGATCGTGGTCTCCGAAGTGGGCAAGGGACCTGTCGAAGGAGGAGGCAGCGCTGATTACGAACAGAATCTTGATATTCCGCCATTACCTCCGTCCAATCTCGCGAACTGTGGGATCATCGACTTGGAATACAATCTTAAGGTCGTGGCGTGTGTCTCAGGATGGTTAGTAACATGTTACACTTCAAGATTTTCAGCGATTTTCAAGCGATACAAAATAGAAACCTCTCGCGTGCAGTCGCCAGTTGATTTTAATCTGACTTACAATTAATCTTAAACGCATCCTGAGGTCAAAAGAATTGGTTCGAGATTCGCTATTCACCTCTGACACTGTGACTCATGGATCTATTAAACGAGATCCTTGAAGAAAAGTGATTCACTGACTCAAAGAGTAGTGCAGAGAAAAATTATCTGCTATGCGAATAAATAACTTTGTTTCAGGTACTATCGAAATTTGTCAAAGAACACGCTAATTTTTGTGGGCACGGTGCCATTGGTAAATTATCAGACCCCAAGCGCTCCTCCTGCGGAAGCAATGAAACCGGAAGTTGGGTGGACGGCTCCCGATGGTCCAACATCGAATTTGTATCCTGATTTACGTAAGAATATAATACAACCTTTATTAAAAACGAATTAGCTTTTAGTGTATTCTATTTACTTTTTATATTACTTCATTTTATTTTACTTTATCAACTCTCAACTCAGATAATCATAATGAATTAAGAATCGAGGGAAAAAGTATATAAAATTAGCAATGACTTTTGTTAAAGTATACGATTGATAAATTAATGTTTCTTTGTATACCTTAGGAGAGAACTAATTTGAATATCATTTGTTTAGCTCCACCATCGTACGAGGAGTCGACGAATGGTGCCAGAAGTCTTTGGGAACGTGGCGAATCCGACCACGTATTCGGTCTATCGAATCGTTTCGCGCCTAAATATCCTGTCTACAATTTCGCACCTGTTCAATGAACAACGAAACGAAGCTTTCCAAGGTTTCATTTGTAAACGAAAAGTCGTTTGTTTCACGACGCAGCCAGCAAAGCACTGTTTAGGGGCTTTATAACGATAACGAAGTTAAAAATTCACGTTAACCGTGGACATTATTCAAGCTGACAGTCTCAGTTTTTACTATAACATTTTTTTATTAAATTCGTTTAGAGTAGGAAATCGTTAGGTATCTCGAAACCAATGCTATGTAAAATAGTCGAAAAGATTTTCACGTAAAACGTGAATATGTAACAATTTCAATCATTTTTTAATATGGTTTTTTAAATGGCTTTTTAACTATAAAGATATTTTACGACTAGTCGAGCTTGAATTTGTTCTGGGAAATTTATGTGCCTCAAGTAAACAAATGAATTTGGTCAATTAAGACGCACAGCTCAAAATATTTCATGTAAATGAGCAAAGCCTACAATTGTATATTGATATGACAACTTTTTTTATTAATATGTATATTTTTCTACGAGTATTCGTAGATAGGAACTAGATTCAAAGCAATATTGATGCAAGATTATCGAACTGCCGCTATCACTATACAAGCTTTTGTGAGAATCTGCTTGATCAAAATTTTTATATGTATATATATTATATATAAAATAATTATGTATTATTATTACGTATACATGTATATGATACTCGAAAGAAACGAAGAATTTGAATGCAAACAAGATCTGTATTTATATTTATCATGTTGTGAATAAAGCATATGTTTTTCATACAAGCTATTCGTCAAACTCTTATCTGTTTACACCATTCCACAATTAGTGTGTGCATATCAGTCTGTAAATCTGGTATTAGCTGATATTGCTTGATATGTGATTGATAGTGCCATCAGATTATTAGTAGCGAATTAATAAAAATAATTAAATAAGAGCGTTTCATAGGATCGAAAATGCTATCGCCATGGATAATTTATTAACTTTCTGGGCATAATTCATTAACGTTGGCATTTGTAGAAGCTAGCCAAGACCTCTAGCAACATTTAGAGACCACTGTTGATACGAAACCGTTGATAATTCATTGCAAAAAGTACATCAAAGTAATTAGTTGTCTCAACGTAGATCCAGTTGGATAGGTCAAAAACGTGTCACGCGACGCTATAACCATCTAGCGGTGAGAAGATGGAACTAAAATTATCGACATTACAGAAAAAATTAAAAAATACTTACACAATCTATTTTATTCCGTTTAATATTAAACTTGTAGTCATAAAACAAACACTGGGGGATTAAAATTCATTAGTAGAAGTTAAAATTAGCAAATAATTAAAATGTCGGTAATTGATTGACAGTGGCGCCATCGGTGGCAAAACGCCGAAGTTTGTCCTCGAATAGTTCCAAGCTTCAACGGATAGATGGCGCTATTGGTTTTTTTTTTTATTTAAAAAAACAAGTAATTTAAGGGTTAAAAAAATGGTTTTCATTCAAATTTTAATATCACATTGCTGGTTCACTCATTTGTTATTGCATATAATAATAAAAAAAATTTAACATGCAAGTGGCGCCAACTAGCAGTCACAAGTGGAACTAATTTCGGAGTTTGGTCAGCGCCTCTCTCGGGAAAACGCTCAAGTTTGTCCTCGAATAGTTCCTTTGTTTAGTGCTAGATGGCGCCATTTGTATGTTTATAAAAATATTTTTTTTATTATTAACAAATGAGTGAGCCAGCAGTGTGATATTAAAATTTGAATGAAAACCATTTTTTTAACTCTTAAATTATTTATTTTTTTAAATTTAAAAAAAGATGGCGCCATCTATCGGTTGAAGTCTAAAACTGTTCGGGGACAAACTTTGGCATTTTGCCGCCGATGGCGCCACTGTCAACTAATTACCGGCATTTTAATTATTTGCTTATTTTAACTTCTACTAATGAATTTTAATCCCCCAGTGTTTGTTTTATGACTACAAGTTTAATATTAAACGGAATAAAATAGATTGTGTAAGTATTTTTTAATTTTTTCTGTAATGTCGATAATTTTAGTTTCATCTTCTCACCGCTAGGTGGTTATAGTGTTCCGGGGTCCATAAATTGACCAAATAACAAAAACTCAAAATATCATTGTTATTTTCGAATAATTCATTTGTACAGAGTATTATTAGTTTACTTAGAACCTAACTTAATGAAAAAATATTAATATCGAACGTTCCAACAAGAATTACATGTAAAACACCTCTAGGGTGATTCTTCTTGGAAAACGCATGCGCATTCAGAGTACAAACCTGAAAATACATCAAAGTTTTTCCTCTGAAAAAGTAGCAAGTGAACTTTATAAACGTTAGAAGACTTTCTAAACGTTAGTTCCAAGTATTTATTGTTTATTGTGACAAAATAAGCGTGTCTCAATAATTGATTGTTAAGAGTTAAAGTACTATGAACCGTTTGGATGATCCTCCGGGTCTCATGAAAGGCAGAAAACCATCCTTCATTGGAATGAACGGTATTTCTCAATCGAATTCTTACAATTCTTAATATTTTCTTAATTATATCTTCTGTATGAGCTAATTGTTAACTTGTTAGGATTCGTATGTCGTTCTCATTGCTTTGCTGCTTGTTTATTCGTTGAATAAACAAAGAAACATTCATTAAAATTATATGGTTTATATTATTCAATGAAGGAGAAGTATCATTTCAATAAATATAATTATAATTTTTAGGAGAAGGTAATTATTCCATCTTAATTGATATGGAAGAGCAAAATTTACAGAAATCTTACAGAGGTGTATCGTATACTTTAGTAGAGGACATTTCTGTCCTATTTCATGGAGCTTCCTTCAGGTATATACATATTATTCTTAACTAAAAGGAAAAAAATATATACAAGAATGAATGGGTGTTGCCTACATGTAAGTATTGCAAGTTAAATAATATGATAGTATGATAAGGATAAGAAACTGTCAGAAGTACACGATACACTCATACATGATTTTTATAATTTTTACTCTCACATATCAGTAAATGAGCTACCTTTCTGTAAAAATTATAATAAGATTAATATTATTTTATATTAAAAAATTTAATTTATTTTTCAGGGGGTCCAGAAACAGACGAGCAGCAACGGTTAAGATTTCAAGTTGAACTAGAATTTGTTCAATGTCTTGCCAATCCAAACTATTTGAATTGTATGTTTATTAACTTTATTTTATCCTTTTTTGTTTTCCTTCAAGGTATTAATAATCGCTATTACAGTTCTAGCACAACGTGGATACTTTAAGGATTCGACATTCATAAATTATCTTAAGTACCTGTTGTATTGGAAGGAACCTGATTATGCAAAATATTTGAAATATCCCATGTGCTTGTACTTCCTAGACTTATTACAATATGAACACTTTAGAAGAGAAGTGGTAAACTCTCAGTGTACGAAATTTATAGATGATCAACAAATATTATTATGGCAACATTATACCAGACGTAGGACAAGACTGTTACAAACTGCTGCCGAGCAAACGCAGCACGTAAATCCTCAAAACAATGGTATTGTACAACCTAAAGTTCCTTGAGTAATATGTGTGAAAAACAGTATTAAATGGGTCCATAAAACCTACGACACTACATAAGATTATTTCTATATTATAGTTCCTTATCAGAATTGTTTTAATAGTTATGTTTTTGACTGTGATAAATCACAAATAAAGTACTTTTCTATATTCATTATACACCTGTGACTACACTTTCCCCTCTTTCCTTCTATCTTATTATTTATACATTAATTGCATTTAAAATTGAATTCTTTAAAAGAAGCTGATATATAATAATAAACACTAAATGTATATACTATAAATTCGGAAAAATTACAAGGCTATTCTTTCATAATTACAAAAAAAAAATAATTTGAATAATTAAACCATTAGACAAATCAAACTATTAGTATGAAATTGAAATAAAGCCACTCCAATTGTAGAATCTGATTTTGGACGAGTGATGCTGAAACCTGAATAGCTGTTCGTAAATATTTATGACTATTTATGCTTCAAAACAATGGATAAGTTGGGAAGGTCATCAATGAAGATACAACTAGAAGATGTGGAGTTTGGCAGCCTCAGTAAGTCCGCTCGATTTATTTTGTTACAAAATCAAAAACTTTTCATTATGTGTTATTTCGCAAATGATATTATTGACACGTTATTTTCTAATTTATCGGATAAGTTTTTGTATTTTTTTTACATGGATATTTTTTTTTTTTATAATTTTTAGAATAATCATACATGTACTTATATTTTGTCATTTTATATACAATGTATTCATTCGAAGGTATACAAAAAAAATGTATGAACACTATATATAAAAAAAAGTTAATAAAATATCGTGTAACATTATTTCAACAGCTAAAATGAAAATACTTTTAAATCTCTTTGCTATTCTAACTAATCGTTTACTTTCGTAGTGAAACTTATGCTTGATTTAAGGCAGTGACAACTGATTGTTTAACTATAATTATTTTTATATTTAACATTTTGTAATAAATAATAAATATTGAAAACAATAAGTGCGTTCGTATGGAGAATATAGTACACAATGATAGATGCTTACGATAATTACTTCGTTCGTATAGTCTACTTTTGATTCGATCGTAACAATGAAAATGGCGCAATGTGTAAATCACAATCGCATATCTTAAAACTCTAAGTAAATACAAAGAACGTTAAAAATACCGTGATTGTTCAGTCAGATACTCGTAGTTTCATTCGGTAGAAAAGCTACTATAAAAAGCGAATCTTTACGATAAAACTAGTGTGTTAAGAAAACGGTGAAATAGTGCAATCTCGTTCTATAACATTCACCGGCGTTGATACAGTGCTATGAAATTAGATTGTTTTATCTACCATTGATTTAAAGTAGGGATCTACGTACTTCTTTCACGTTCTCCACTGCTCGTCCTTCATTCCGAGCTCTTATTCTCCGTAAAATTTACTAATATGCCGTTTCCAGCGTCCACCCAATCCTCCGAAAAGAGTCTCGCCCTCAGTACTTCCCTCTCCGAGAGATCCTCATCCGCGTGGGTGTCTTCATTATTTAAATTCTCGTTACTCTTCTTATCTCTTCTCTTCGCGGCTAGCTCGCAGTCCTTTACTACATCTGGTAATACTTTGTTCGCCGTTTCAGGCAAAAGTAGAGCCAGTGCCCCTGAGACCAAGTTAAATATTCCAACGATTATTAATGCAACGGTGACTGGAAAGTATTTCTCCTGAAATAAACAAAAAAATTCGTATCATGTTCGGCATGAATTTTGAAACGGTACAGCTACGTATTCCGTTAAATGAGATCCGGGAACAGTGGGATGCGAATTATAGTTGAATCTTACCGACGATATTACGTGCGGTGTACACAAACTGCCGATTTTCGCGAAAACAGTGCACAAGCCTAGACAGGTGCCCCGTACGACTGTTGGATATATCTCTATCGTGTACAGGTAGACTATGAAAGTCACGCTCATTACGACTTCCCTGCCGAGTATTAACAGGATGGTCTTCGCGAGATCTGAAAATAAAGAAAAGGTTTAAATGAGTAATAGTTGTTGAGAACATTTTTTTTTTTATATATATATATATTAGCGTTTAATTGTAAGAGTTACGTACCGATTCCAAACGTCGGTTCTGTCAGAATGATAATAGCGGCTATCGCAATGCAAATGACGCCACTTAGAGATTGATAAGCGGATATTGGCACTCGTCTACCGTATCGGGATAATACAAAATATAGGAACACGTAGGTTGCTATTTCTAATATTCCTCCCAGGGCGAAGGTAACGTGTCTATTGGCAGGAAAGTTCGGTATAAGTGCCATAAAAACGCAGAACGCCATGGAGGAAGTCAACCTTGAACAAAGAAAACGAACACAAAGTCATATATCGTTCACGATCATTTTCTTTGGTAGTATACACCATTCTTACCATTGAATAATCATTATAACGCTATGTTTCCTCATTAGTTTCGACTTGAACAGTTGCGCGAGTTCCTGATCCGTTTGTCCGTTAGACTTTTCTTCGTTTTTGATGGTCGCCTTCTCTTCGTCGTTGTTCAACATCTCCTTTTTCGCGGGAGTTCTCAGTTCTACAATGTCGTAAGTATTTTTCGTGGATAGTCGTTGATTGCCAGCCGGCTGTGATATCGACTTTGACTTTCGATGGCTTTTCGAGCTCGAAGGAGCGCTTCCTTTTTCCTTTTCTTTACCTTTTTCTTTTTCTTGTTCTTTTTCTTCGTTCTCGCATTGAGTCGGTTTCGGTGTCGGTTCCGTTTTGGGTATCTTGTTTTCTAGGTTCTCTGAAATTCCTCTCAGACTCGTTTCTGGAAAATACACGGGAAATTGTATTTATTTTTATTAAATATCTTTATTATTGCTGCTGCGAATCTGTTGTACGCGTATTTTTATTCGTTTTATAAACAGTCATGCATTCATCTTACTTTGAACTTTTTGTTGAGCAGCGTCCGCGACTTTGGTCAACAAATTAATGGCCTCCTCCTTCTCCTCGCTATCGGTTTTCGACTTCTTCAAATCCGCGCACGAAACGCGCGATTTCCTTTCTGGTTTAACAGGTGTCGTGTTCTCAGGTGCGTTTGTTTCCGGTTTAGCCTTGTTTTCCTTTCGAGATCTGGTGCAGCAGACGTTGTACTTCGCGATACGTTCCACCGCCATATCCGCCTCCGTCGTTTTGCCCTTTGCCAGCAGCCATCGCGGCGATTCTGGTAGAATCCTAACACAAAAATCGATGATGTTGTTGTTCGTCTAGATTTTCTTTCCAACCTCGTTTGATACATGTAATAATTATATAGTATAATAATATACAAGTTAATCACCAAATATAAAGCACGGTTATCGCGGTAGGAACCGAAACAGCCAGCTGTAAAATTCTCCAGTCAGGTATGGCATAGCTGAGCCCAGCCAGAAGCATCAAACCGATCGCCCATGCGATTTGCATAACTAATGCGACGAAAGTCCGTGCTTTCGCTGGGAACAACTCCAGGGAAAGAATGTACGTGGAATTTTGTAGACCCTGCACGAAGACTCCCTGCAGCCCACGAAGGGCCAGGAACGTCGGGTAATTCTAAAATTTGAATTCCCATTTAAGTTCTGTACTGGACAAAATATTTAATAGTTTCTCTCTCTCTCTCTCTCTGTATATTTTCTAATCATTCTAATCAAACCAATGGCTGTACATGAACTAAATATAGAGAGGTTTCATTCGTAACATCGAGTCTTTTTGTAATTCCTCGAACAATTAGTTTCACATCGATCGAAAGACCTTATCATACTAATCGATTGTTTAAACGAACTAAACTGTTCTTCGTTCTCAAGGTGGAAATTCAACAGGATTAATTTACCTGCACGACGTACATTGCAACAGCCATCGTACCCTGAGTATAAAGGCAGATCGCCTGAACCGGAAGTCTTCCTATTCGATCGGACAGAAGACCAGCGATCCAAGCGCCCATTAAAAGTCCCACGTAATAGACAGCCGGGCCAAGAAACGTCAAATATCGTTTCTCGCAAATTAAACCCCACTCTGTCACCACGCTGTTCTCGCCAAACTCCGTTGCGAATTGATAATCTCCGAAGCACAAGTTCGAATCCGCGGATTCCTCGAGACCGGAAGTGTAATTGATCGCGACGCTCGCGTTGACGAGCTCTCGACAACCGTGCGTTCGTCTCGTTCCATTTTTTTCCTGTAATAGGAAAATCAAGCTTTTCCTATATGCATTCGATGCTTGAAATAAAAGTAAGTTTTTTCCAAGCAATAATTGACCGAACTACACCGTTAAAAATTTGCTGTCCTTGTATATATAAAATATAAATATAAGATGTACAGTAATAATCGATCCACTCGACGTTTAGGAATCGATAGGTCTTACCTGGCAATAAAATTTCGGCGTGTAATTATGGAAGACTGGTAACGCATGGCTCATAGCCACTATGACATAATTGATGGCCAGCAGCACCGCGATGACCACTTGGAAGCAGCCGACTTTGATCTCTTCGGCGTTCATTTCTTGCGATAGTTGCGCGCGATCTTCACTCTTTTGTCACTAAATCACGTGTGATCGATAGCGACTGAACGAATTCGCCGTTTCAGATTGAGAATCCATCCAGCGATCGAAAGAAACGACTTGAGAACTCCGAACTCACTGTCGCCGGCTCATCCATTTGTGTTTAAAGATACTATTTAAAAACTCGCGTTTAAAAAAAAAAAAAAAAAAAAAAGAGAGAGAAGAATATTATCGTTTTCGTCGAAATGGAAAGACTCGTTAGAGGATGCTCGTTTGGAGCATCTCGCTCCGAAACGTGGCGCGCGAATGTAAATTGAAAAAGTAAGTAAAAGTGGTCGCAGGGAGCCTGAACAAAGTGTCATCCGTGAGGGTGAAGCAAGCACTGACAGAGAGGAGAGTCCTCTCTCTCTCGAAGGATATAGCACTGCAGAAGGAGCCGATTCCTAGCGGCGTTGGATCGAACGAGGACAGGAACACGTGCTATTGTTTCACGCTTGGCGACACGTATCCCATTAACGCACGCACGTCACGGGAAAACGATCTTCTGTCAATGATAATCGATTTTTAACCCTCTATGGGCCCGTGTTACTTTCAAGTCACATACCACCACAGCGACATTTTATTAAATACACCCAGCCGCTGGTTTACAAGGTTCTTACACGATTACACGAGTTTGTAAAGTAATATTGAAAAAAATGAAACGAAGAGGAAATGCGAGAAGACTTATGACGGTACGTAAATTAATTATAAGTTAATGCTATTAGTTATTGTATAGTAGTTCTGCGAAATTATTCATAATTTTCTATTCTTCTTCTAAACGAAAATTTCGCTTCTGTTGATCCACGTACCGCTAAACGTATTATTAATCATAGATCGCGAATGCAATTCGTGACCCATTGTCGTTACCTATTTGCAATACAAAAAGATCGATTAACGACGTCGTAAAATTCCTAAAGGTGCATCGAGGAACTTAGGTTTGCTCTGTAGACTGCGCAAATACATTCGATGGTACGCGCATTCAAATGCACCAACTTAAATAATAGCCTGAGTGGGTCTATGAACTCTCGACGCACGCTTACTTCACTCGATGGCTACCTCCGGTTGCAACAGAAACTCCCATTGATGGGTATTGATCGTTTCGTTTTACTCAATCGCTTTTCACGGTGAAAATCTCTCTCGAGGTCTACTAGGCGAGATTCCGTCGGTTTTCTTCCTACAAATTGTTACTACCATATTTTACTAGCGTGTCCAGTATTTATTATTATAAGTTATTGGGTTGTTTGGAAAGTTCATGGGCGATGTTTAGTAGGCGGTACAGGTCTGAATATATCGGAATGGTTGAAAACAAATAACATGTGAACATCCCTTAGAAGGTGGACAAATTGTGGAACAAAATGATAGTTTTAGAATTTTTCTTAAAAATTGCCACGAACTTTCTGGACAACCCAATACATTGGTCGCAGAAGTGATTGTTCCTAATAGTCGAGAAGAATCTCAATGAAGTGGAAAAAATAGGATGGATGGTAATTCCCACTAAACGAAAACGAAATCAGTGTGGCATGATGAGTGTTGTACGCAAACTATTTCCAAGGCGTAAAAACTTATCCGGTGACGTCTTCGCGCCATGCCATACTTAGGGCACGGTTATCTCGATGGAGGGGTTTAATCGTCATAGTCTAGCGACGGTGTTTCCTTCGTTTCTGGAACTGTTTCTGTATGCGAAGAACGCCACGTCCGGTCCCGGGCGCATCCTGCCTTTCATTCGAGGCACCTCGTGTTCGCTCGATCGCCGATTCCATAGGAAACCTCCGTAGCAGGTGAATCCTCGATTGTCCTTCGACTTAAGCCACTAATCGAGGTGTCGCGTCCGTTGGCAGCGTCATTCGCGGTCGGTGATCATGCCACGGTCATTGTCGGAATCCTTCTGAACGACTTTCATTTCCATTCGATCGTTAGAATGGGTCATTCTACGGCGATCGACCTTTTTCGGTCGACTAGTACTCTTGAGAATTTCTCCTGGGATTCAATTTTCTTTGCAGACTATTAACGACTATATAATCAAACATTCATAGCGGTATTTATCTTTAAAGCTTCATAAAAATTCATGAATTTCATAACGTAAACCATAAGCTCGATGCCGGTAGCGAATAGCTAAATAGCACCGATCCGTGTCGTCATTGTTGCAACACATGTATTTAGGCTAATGTCCTGCCGTTAACGGGGTACAATCTCCTGATGGCGTTTACCGCAAAGAACTCAATTTTAATGCATGCAAACTTGATCGATCAAGTTATATAGAATTTTAATATTCGTAAATATCGTATTTTAAATATATGTGTAGGTACTGAGAGTATCAGACAGCAAGCTGAAGGGCGAAAAGATGGAGATCTATGGATCAGTGGAAAGCCCTATGGTGGAGACCTGGTTTTTTGGGTATGAAGGAACGAAAACCCCTAATTAAATATTCAAGACTTCCAATCTTTACCTACTTAAGCTGTACGGTAGCTGCGTCCATGTCTCTTACGCTACTTTCTTCTCCCCGATCTAGGAGTTTATCGAATCTTCAAACAAAGAACGGTACAAGATTTAATTAAGCTCTCTGTTAGTATTTCAGAGAAAGCCACGAGTGCTTTTGGTCTTCTATCGGGTGCTAATGCTAACTAATCATGAAATTCGGTCGTCGATATGTTGACACTTTCACAAGTAGACGCGCCTCTTTTAACGCGCTTGTTTCCGATAAAGATAGAGATCCTCCGCCATCCGTGAAGTTGTATCGCGTCCGAGCACGTATCGCATATAACCTGGAGAGATGGCCTGGATGCCTTTTTTCGTCGTGTACCGTTACTATAGAATAGGTACCGCGATCATGGCACCGTCACTTATTTCACGTTGTCTTTATCGTTCACCTGTTCGATCGAACGTCGCGATCCGTGCTCTATTAGTGGCAAAGTGTAACGAGACTAGGAACCTGGTGAGCCTCCTTCGTGAAAACAACGTGGTTCATTCAGTTCTCGTTGCTCGGTCCGCGTGCACGGTCGATTAAGAGCTGCATCGATGCAAACGAATTGGTCGCAGGAAACGAACATAAGCGCAACGAGAAAAGGGCGATCAACCGTCGCGAAAGGATTCCCTGGTATCCACCGGAAGTGATTAACGCGACGGAAACGCAAGATGAAAATTACGCTCGCTTTGGCGGCGGTTATTCTTGCCTGCGTCAACGTAAGTTCGAATCAAGCGAAAGTAGTATAGTTTAAGAACTAACTAGGGTATTTCTGGAGACGATTAACTTCCTATTAATCGATTACTTATATCTAATAAGTGTCGCTAAAAATCGCGGTCAGAATATCGCGGACATTTAAGTCATTCTAAACGGAAGTGCCAAACATAGATGAGCGAAATTTGTGTCCATTAATATCGTGTCAGTTATTACGAACCTTTTATGCTTTTATTATAGGATTTTAATATTTAATAGTAAATTAAATTTTGCATACAAAGAATAGTATTGGAATCTGCTCGTTGGATTCATTGATAAGGCGATTTTACGTGCAAGAAAGTTAGTTCTAAGTAGGATTATGTAGATACGCCTGGCTAATGGGATCAGATATTGGATCCAGGACAAAAAGCGTAGAAACATCGAGCGTCGCGCATGAAAGTGATACCTGCATGGGTCAATTTGTTTCTAAATTCGTTACAAACAAATTATTTTTCTTCCTTATATTTAGTGTACAAGAATATAACGTAACGAATGTTTGTTATAATTTACAGTTTCAATGCGTTGAAGGCAGAGCGAAGAAACCAACGCAATTATCTTTACAAAGTAAAGAAACCAACGTGGTGAACTTCATGAGACTCCTCATGCTTAGACTCGTTTTTGGATTCGCATCGGCCATGGGTCTCGGCGAAAATCTTTCAGGAATACTTGGAGGGATCTTCGTACCACCTGGAGCGGATGATTACGATTACGGCGACGGCGATTTTGTATCTGATTTGTTTTAGATCTTGAACCTGTAATTACTTTAAGCATCATTTTATTTAAACCATAAAAAACGCGCGGCGTGATCGGTTGTAACAGTTGGATATCGAATCTTTCCTTCTCGTTTTTTTGTGTGAATTAACGAAATAATTCTAAACGATACATTAATTAACGTGACATTCATATTTACGTCGCGTTCGATCATGCATTTTAATTGTATTTTTGTGGCGTTAGTGCCAGCAGTGAACGGTGACAAATCGTTCAAGAATGCCAATGAGCGTTATCGATTTGAATCGTTTTTGCATTCAATACTGATTCGTCCTAAAATGTGTACGCAATGAGGACTTGCGAAGTAGGTACCTTTCTACACCGTTATTTATTATAATTTCTGTACAAATCAGACGAAGATTCTTCGTCAATTATTATTAGCGATAGATAGTGTATTAATTCCCCACTTGTAAATAACATTGTTGCTGAGGACAAAACTTTCAAAGTAGCACGTTGTACAATAAAATTTATGTTTAAATCGTTGTTCTGTGTCCTCAAATACTCTTACCGTAATGTAAACGTTTAAACATTTTTTAAACAGCTGTTTAAGTTAGATGGCACTGCGGAGGGGCATCTTTATCAGGACGTTATCATTAACCACGATATATGATTTGTATTATGACATTTACAGGTACAATGTATATTGTGTTTATTACAATAATAATTAATTCCACTTGTATCGATCATTTATAAATTATTTATACCTAACAATATCCCTGTCTAATTCGTGACCTGATAGCTATTATTCGTAACTGTAACACTGTTCTTAAGAACATCGATGCAAACAATATAACATTACACATAATAAATATTTTATTTATATAATATGAATCGTAAACTAAACTTGTAACGGGTTAATGTAATACCATTGACGAAAATATTCCAACTATCTTACTTTAATATTTGCGACACAAAATAACCTCAAAATTTTACCGCGTATTCTATTAAATTTATATAAATTTACAATAAAATGGAGTGGCAGAACGTATTAGAGTCTATTATGTATAAATTTAAAACAACGAATGTCCAACAAAAAAAAACAAAGCACGAACATGAATTAATGTCTTATTTATGGGCTGATCAAAGCATAAGGTGAACAGCAAACATTTTTACGTGAAAATGATTAGTATTTTAAACTATGTATTTTTTATTTGTTTAGAAAACTTGTATCTTTATGGTTGAAACACCGTTATGATAAAAAAGAATGTAAATCTATCGAAAGGGCACAAGTTCTTAACACAATGGGGAACCAGGAATTTAAAAAAAAAAATTATTTACTAAGTATACAATCGTATACGAAATGTGCATTATACGCTCCTATAAACAGTAATGAGTTATCAGTTGCAATTGCAAATAGATCAGCTGCCTTATTTTATTTAAATAGATACGACGTAAGTAATAATATATAAACATATAATGTTTAATGTTTAGAAATTTATATTTCAACAGTATCTGTATTTTATGTATAATAAATACCATTTGATGATGATAAGGAATGTGTGAAAGATATTAACTTGGCTATTAAGTTAAATTATCCCAAGAATTTACATTATAAATTATATTTGCGTGCAGTGCAGTGTTATTTAAAATTAGGCAAACAAAAGTTAGCTGAACAAACACTTTCCACATTACATGAAATTGTAAATAATCCAGATTATATTACACTTTCAATAAAAGGTACATAATATATTATTAAAATCATAAAGGACTAAAGTTGTAATATTGTTCTTTACAAATATCTTGTTAACTTTCAGATGACATAGAGAAAAGAATTTCTGAAATAACATTCAATGTGTCATGCACACAAAATGATACAAAAGATATGAGTAATTTATTAAAATTGAAGTCTGAAATTACATTTGATGAGAATGTTGATTTTCTACATGCATCTGCAAGTATAGATAAAAAATACAATCAAGAGTTAGGGAGATATGTTGTAGCAAATAGATTTATAAAAAAAGGTGAAATACTTTTTTTGGAGAAACCTGTAAGTTTTGTATTATTAAATTATGATGCATTAAATAGTCTTTGCCAGCACTGTAATTGTTTAAATACAGATATTCCCATTCCGTAAGTAATACTTATTTAAGTACCAAATATTTCCTTTGAAGTAGATATTTTTTAACTATACGTTATTTTAGATGCACAAAATGCTTAAATACTTTCTACTGTGATGTAAATTGTTCAGACCAAGCATGGTTTTCTTATCATACTTGGGAATGTCCAGGAAACCAAATGACTCTATGGAAAGAAATTGGAATAGGGCATTTAGCACTTAAAGTTCTATTAACATGTACAACTACAACAGACATGATTCAATTTAATGAAATGCAAAATTTAGTAACTAATTTTGATAAATTACTTATAGAAGATTTGACAGTATATGGAATTGTATGTATATAACTAAATAGTGTACATATAAAAAACAAAACTTTGGATCTAATTTAGAATTATCATTTTTGCAGACAGCTATTATGCTTACGATATATTTATCAGAATATACCGATTTTTTTAAAACAAATAATCTTAATGACTGTCTGGTAAAGAAATTTTCAGATAGATCTTTCAACTCTAACTTTAATATTTTAACAAATAATGACAAACAACTTTATGTAAGTTCATTACTTTTGCGATATATTCTTCAACTTATTTGTAATGGACATGCAATTGTAACATCAAACACATTGTTGAATAAAAATGACTCTTTCATGGACCAAGATATTGTGGGCACAGGGATTTATCCTTCTGCAAGTATGATGAACCACTCTTGCGATCCTAATATAATTAACATGTAAATTTTAAATACATATTATATATTTTGGTAATATACTTCTATAATATCTTGTATATTATTGTTATTGTATTTCAGCTTTATGGATCAATACTTAATTGTGAGGGCTTCAAAAAACATTGCAAAAAATGAAGAAATTTTCAATTGTTATGGTGAAGTAACATTTGTGTTTATCATTTAAAAAACAGTTCTAATCTTTATATTATTAATAGGTCCAAATTATAAACATATGTCAAGAGAACAGAGACAGAAAATTTTAAAAAGTCAATATTGCTTTACTTGTAAATGTAAACATTGTACTCTCCCAAGTCTACAATATTTTGTGGTAATTAGAAAAATGATTTAAAGCAATGGTTCTTAGATTATTAAGTGTACAAATATTTTGTAACATTCCAATTACAGGAAAGATTTAATGCCATGAAGTGTTTAAGATGCAATGGTGCATTATGCAACATAGAGAATTCTTTATGTTGTTTAGATTGTGGTGATAGATCAAGAATTCATCAAAAAAATAAACTAAAACAGGCTGACAAAATGTTTAAAAATGCACAAGATTTAATTGATTTAGGAAAAATGGAAGAAGCATTAGGCGAATTAAAAAAATGTTTATATATTAGAAAGACACTATTATATAAATATAATGTTGATATTATAGCTACTTTGAATCTGATGGAAACAATTTATACTACATTGGGTTTGTATAAACAGATTAAATGGTATTTAAATAATTTTGTATAACTTAACAAATTTACCTTTAGATCAATGGGTGAATAGTATAGAATGCTTAGAAAATACAATTATTGCAACTATAGAAAGATTTGGATCTAACAGTATAGAGCTACTGAACGAATTAAATAAACTTACAGACCTGTGTATTATGTATTTACAAAAAGAATTAGATACTACAACGGACACATACAAGTAAATCTATTATTTTCTATTTGAGTTTGTTTAAAATTGAAGTTAAATAAGATTTAAGAAGGCTATATTTTCATATTATAGAACTCTATTGGGAAGAACACATAAATATCTGGACCAGCTAGAAGAACTTACGAATTTTCATTATGGATCATGGAACAGAGTTTGTGTAGAAATAAAAAAGAAACGAGAAAAAATATATCAGATGTAATATTTAAGAGTTAAATAAATGAATATATTTTATGAAAATGCGTACCATAATTGTATTTACCTCGAATTCGATTAATTTTATAGTTTAAAATCATTGCTTATTGTTAAGTCTTAATCAAGCCAGTGAACCTTAACCAAACAAAGACGAGAAAGTATACGCTTTTCTGCATTCTTCAAAGTGTCAATTTTTGAATTGAGTGAAGAAAAAAGAAAGAATAAACATATGAAATTTTCAGAGAATTAATAGAACGTAATACTAACTCAAAAGTTAAATTTAATAACATGGATCTTAACCCTTCCTTCACAAAATGACGATCAAATTTTACTAATTTACGAAATAATTCTTTTTCTTCAAAATTATAAAATCTAAGACAAATTCACAGAATAAAAACTTAAGTTATGTCAGTTAAAATATGCCATAATACAGATACGATAAAACAATCTCATACATTAAAAGACTGGTGCAGACACAAAAAGAAACGATTACGCGAAGACTGTAATCAAAATCACACATCAACTTATATTACAGACACTAGTATCCATAAATTAAACAATGACTGTCTAATACTTATTTTCCTTTACTTGCCAATCATAGATAGAATTAGGATAGAAAGTGGTATGTATACTTTAATTTTATAAGGTATGTGATAACATTTGTAAATATGCAAATATATTCATTTAAAATGATATTTAAAATTTGTAGTGTGCAAACAGTGGAAGGAAGTAAGCCAAAAATCTTGGTATAATATTAAAAAATTGGACTTACAGAATTTTACTTGGGGATTTTCAACTGACGTTAGACTGAAGCAAATCGATTCAGTTATTCTTCATAAAGTACTTTCACGATGTGGCACATTTTTAAGAGAGATATATTTATCAAAAACATTTTGTGAGGGTAGAGAAAATGCATTGTCCATTATTGGTAACTTGTGTCCCAATTTAGAAATCATTGATGTTAGTTGCCTTCAGGTATCTTCAGCAGGGATAACATCATTAATAACTAATTGCCATAATATTAAAAAACTCAGTTTAGATTGTATATGTCTTTTCGACACAGATTTGGAAAAATTATTTAAAGCAAATCAAAAATTACAATGTCTCAAATTAGTTGATAATAAAATATCTGGCAAGTGTTTGTTAGGTTTGCCATCAGAAACAATAGAGGAAATTATTATAGAAAGATGTGACTATCTCCGCGACAACGATATAGTAGAGGTATGTTTGAAATCTTTAATGTTTAATATCTTGCATTTGCTGTTCAATAATATATTCTATGTATAATGCATTTAGGCAATTGCAAGGTTAAAGAATTTGAAGAGTCTTATAATAAAAGAGTGTTTTGATATTTGGAGAAAGACCACAGAAGCTGTTGGTAAATACTGCATAAATTTAACAACATTGGAAATCACTGGCAAGTCCAGCATTTTTCAGTTCAATGGTATATCGCATATAACACCATTGATCAATCTTAAAAATTTAAAAGCAAGTGCAAATTGGTTCATTTGCAATTCCACTCTTCATAAATTGAGTCTACACTGTCAACACCTTACTTGTCTAGATCTCAGTGGTAAGTTTAATTAAATAAACTATGCATTTCCAGACTATGTAAAAACTTTAGAATATATAATTTTCAGATATTCCAGGACATTTTATCAGAGACTATACTTTGGCAGCTATAGACAAATTTACGAAACTAGAAATATTGATAACACGTGATTTGTACCAAGTGACAAGCAAAGGTTTATTATATCTATGTAACTTAAAGCAATTGGTGTGTCAAGAATGCAATTTTTTCGATATAACAATATCCAAGTTTCTTCAGTGTTCTTATCAAATGGAAATACTAGATTTATCAGGATGTCACAATATAACAAATGCCACATTGGCAAGAGCAGTAGCAGCTACTAGCTGTAGAACTAACAACATCACTTTAAATTTATTTATCGGAGGAACTGCTGTAGATCTCGAAACGTTTACCGATGTATCACCATTCTTAAGAATAATTGACCGAGATTTGCGATACAAACGAATATTTAATTTCCGTCCAAGTTCGTTTCTTAATTAATCGATTTTTTATATTTTATAAGTACAAACAGCTCGTAAGTTTTAAAGATATTTTCTATATGTACAGAGAACATTTTGAAATAAACAGACGTCATGCGTAAACCGAATGCGTTGTAATTTCATATTTCCGTCGGTACTTCAGTTCGTATGAGATTACTGCCATGATATGGTAAATTTCTGCTATAGTCAGCTATAGTCATTGCAGACAAGGCGATCTCGTCTGTGTTTTTACCTTGACCGTCGCCTTGTCTAACAATAAGGGACGTTCACCCCTTCCAATCTGTTGGGTCGATAAGAATTAAAGGTATTCAGGTATACGCGTGTTGCACGGCTTTTAAACTTTAAAGTTGAAACCCCTTAGTTAGGCAGTCCCTTTAATATTGCTTTTCAATTCTTATTTGCGAAGTAAAGAAAATGTAAACAAGATATTTAAATAAAATAATATTTATCTCTAATAATACTAAAAGTAATTTTTTGTTATTTGTGTTACGTCTAGCGTACATTTAATGGGGTTATGCTATCATACTAAATCGAATTTATTATCGTATAATTATATTAATTATTAATATCGTAATATTATTTCATAGGTGATGAATCAGGAATAAAACGAATAACAAATGACTTGTGAGGAAAAAACACCATTAATGCCAACAATTGATTGTTTGCATCGCAGTTACTTCCTTAATGATGGTTATTAAAACTATAAATTACTTACTTAATTCATATAATTATCACACAATTTTAAGTGTCATCAGTACTTGGTTTTTGTTTGTTGTAGAACGGCTTATGTGTCTAGACTGTTCTACTGTAACAGAAGATGGTGTACCAATTCGAAAATTATTTATTAGTAATTTAGCAGAAAGGGTTTGTATTTTTTCATTTGTATTATGATTTGATATTCTGAAAAATATTATTTATATATACTACATAGAATAATGTTTCTTTCAAGACCACATATAAAGATTTAACTAAATTGTTTTCTAAATATGGATATGTGGAGCGTTGCTATTTACGAAGAAATGGAGTAAAAAGTAACTATGGGTTTGTTACCTTTGATAGTGTTGAATCAGCTGTAAGGTAAATATAGCATAAGAATGAAAATAAAGTTACACACAGGGGACTGTGGTAATGATAGAATATGATAATCCATAGAGCTAGACGCAGAGACATAGTACTGCACAACAGATATTTGAGAATTGTACCAGCTGATCCTTGGCATCAACCAGATAGTATAGAAAATCAGTATTATAATAAGGATTGGCAAAAATCTGAAAAGAACCAATCCGTTGAACAATGCACTCAAGATTTTGTACAAAGCGATGTTACAGATACTAGTATCCAAATATTAAATGACGACTGTTTGACACATATTTTTCTTCAATTACCAATTGTTGACAGAATTAGGATAGAAAGAGGTAGGGATATAAAATTATTTTTAGGAAGGAGCAAATTTATAACAAATTATTTTTAAATGATTATAGTGTGTAAAAGATGGAGAGCAATAAGCCAAGAATCGTGGCGCAATGTAAAAAAGCTCGATGTCTCGTATGGAGCACAGTGGTGCTCTTGGACTATGAAACCGATAATCACTACAAATATTCTTCGCAAAATATTGTTACGATGCGGGCGATTTTTACATGAAATAGATTTAAATCAAGTAGCTGGTTCGTTAGATCAAAGTACAGTGACCATTGTCGCGAAATTATGTCCCAATTTACAAAGAATCAATCTTAATGGTCTTGGTGTTTCGGCAGCTGGTATAAATTCGTTAACAAATAATTGTCATAATATTACAAAATTTAGTCTAGGGTATACCAGTTCCATTTGCGATAGAGACTTACAAAAGTTATTTCAAGTAAATCCAAAACTACGGTATTTTGAAGTACACTACAGTAACATATGTGGAAAATGTTTACTACATTTACCATTGAAAGCAATTGAAGAAATTGTTTTAAGACATTGTTGTTGCCTTCAAGAAAACTATTTATCTCAGGTAAACAAAACATTCGTTTACTTTGATTTTCCCTATCTTTTGAAAAACTTGTTTAAAATATATAACTTGTACTTCTGTAGGCAGTCGAACAATTACACAATTTGAAAAGTCTTACGATATGCGATTGTTTCTACATAACTGATAAAGTCATCAATGCAATTGGTACATACTGTACAAGTTTAAAAACATTGGAACTTTGCAATATTTCGTTCGTAATACAACCAAACGCTATGTTACCCATTACACAATTAACTAATCTTGAAGTTTTAAAAATCAACAACAACAAAGTCGTTACAGACGAGTTGATTTGCAATTTGGCATCGAAATGTCAAAAGATAACTTATATAGATGTTACCGGTAAGTTGAATATTTAAACAAAATATTTCGTGTTATAAATAATCACTTATGTGTTACAGAATGTCACTGTGTCACAAATATTGGCGTGACCGCTATAGCAACCTTACCAAATTTAGAAACATTGATATTGAATTACATGATTCAACTAACTGACATTAGTATGCGGGATACGTGGAATTTAAAAAGATTAAAATGTCGTGCATGTGCTTTTACAGATAAAATGTTCACTGAGCTTATTGCATCTGCACCTCGATTACAATTATTGGATTTGTCAGGGTGCCGCGGTGTCACGAATATTACATTAAAAAAAGCTGCTGCAGTTACTCTTAATCGAACTAACAATATAATATTGAAAATATTTGTTGGAGGAACTGCTGTGAACATTGAAGAGTTTAACGAAGTTTCGCCGCTTTTGCATATAGTTAATGTAAATTTTCGGTAATTGTTTAGGACTCATATTTCTATGATTTTGAAATAGGTTATCAAATTCATTATTCTTAACAACTTTTTCCTATCGAAAGTTCTTTTGAATATTTCAAAAATTAAGCGTCTCCAGCGGTGATATTATATATAGGAAAAAGTTATTTAGAATAATGAATTTGACAACATATTTCAAAATTCTCGAAATCGGTGTTGAGCACCCTTTTCTGTATAATTACTTACTTTTCCATATGTTGTTCTAGAAAATGTTTCGCTACTTCGAACTTCAAGCTTTTTTAGTATTATTTTCAAACGGAAATATTAGATTTATCTAGTTACCACAATAAAACAAATGTTAATATTAAGAAGAATTGTAGTAGCTAATAATACGATTAACATTCGCCAATTACTATTATTAGTATTATCATTTACTAAAGCCTTGTGCATCTCTTGATTTTTTTTCTAAATATAACCTCCTTTATACAACAAACTAAAAAAAAAAACATTGTAATACAAATACCTTATTTTGATATTTGATATAAAAATAACAAGAAACATAGTGACAAAAATGCGCAATATTTTCTGAGACATCCTAGTAGTCACAATACTTTGTACACGTTTGTATTACAATAAAACACATAATATATAAAATTTTTACGAAACAGTTTAAGAAATGTCGAACTCCCATCGAAATATGTATTTCGACTACATCGATACACTCGAAAGGTTGTTAACGAGGCTCGACTATTACGTGTCGTATTTAACGAAAAAAATCTGTATTTTTACAAATATCTTTATGGACCCTATCCTTTATCACTCGGGTTTCAAAATACAGACATCGTATTTTAATGTACGATAAATTTATTCTTTGAATAATTACAACATTTAGACAGTGAATCGATACAACGGCAATTATTATGCACAAATTTGCAACAAGAAATATTCATATATTTTTAATAAGTGCCAGAAGTAATCATTCGTTCGACAGCTGAGATTCACTGGTCTGTGAATAGAATTTTTAATTGTACGTTATCATATCTTACATCTTTTTGCGTAACAGAACTTTACTATTGAAAATGTTCTTAGTTTACAATATGTACCATGAATGTCATGTTATAGTAAATAGCGTTACGCACATCGTTATTAGATATATAAACATAATACGAAAGGTCAGTTCTTGGGCGTCTTACGCTGAGGCACATAAGTGAGTGTTCTCACTGTGCTTGCAAACATCACAATATGCTCGTAGTATAATCCGATATTTTTTTTTTAGCCAAATCGGAAAGGGCTAATAATTACAACTGTAATCGCTTCTACAAAAAAGTAATGGCTAAGCAAACACGAGTAAGTATAACTCGGGGTAAGATTTACTATAACGTCATATATATGTATGTATAATGATGAATCTTCCCTACTATTCTCAATTGATAATTCCATTGCGGCATTTTTTGAAATGAAAAAAAAAACGGAAACTACAATGTTTGCGTACAATGGAATAAGGATGTTTAGATTAAAGATATACTATATACATATAGACATACTTTGTCCGAACGTTACGATGATAAGCAACTATGCCTACTAGATTGTACAATATTAAACACCTCGCTATTAATACAGACCAATGTTTGAATAAAAAACACAAGAGCAGCAACCGCTGAATTGCAGCAACGAAATCATCAATTTCTACATTTGTAATGTTTTGATTGAACGTTTTTTCAATAAAGATTTAAGAAATTTAAACCTTATCGATCTATTTTTTTTTTTTTACTTGTGGTTACAATAAAAATTATTAACATCTTCTACTTACACTTATTTACTGAAGTACGTGTAAATACGATGGTAGTCAAATCAATGACTTATTTTCTAAATATAGTTCACAAAAATTGCACAAGAAAGATTTGATGCATAGCTAGCTATACAATACATACAATATTGTATTCAATGTCATGTGAACATATGAACACACATCAAAATCATGTTGTCAATTGCACCTATGAAGTATCGTGATTTTGATTGTAACGTATGATGTAATATGATAAATCGATATATTTGCAAAGACATTATACTATTTTAATATGTATTTAAAAAAAAAAAAGGTTGATTACTTAGATAGTATTCTTTACTGTTTTAAAATATCTTTATCTATGATGTGGAAGTTTCGTATTATCCGATGCTAAATAAAATAGTACTTCAGGGATCATTGTTCGATTACGTAGATTATGAATAAAGTACTGTTCATAACATTATTTCATATCCGTTACATTAAGCAATACTGTTGATAGAACAACTTTATTCAGTAATATTATGAACAGCACTACTGCGATTATACGAAATACGCATTCCGTAAAACACTTACGTCCGCTACTTGAAATATACTGTATTATTCAGCTACAGCGTCAAGTCGTGTTCAATTGCGGACCAATAACTTGTAAAAAATAGTATGGCATTCTAGCAATGATCGAACAAAAGTCTTTTTTCAATGGTGTAAATAATGCTCTACGAATGTCAGGTACAAATGTTATACTAGTAACTTGATCTCTAGTTAACACTTCTTTTCATCGAATTATGTTCTCATATATCCGATGCCCATTTATGTATCCTAGTGTCATCACAGGGAACACAATTTGCCCATGAGTGTACAATAACGTTAAACTTATAACGATAATAGTTTATCTTACATACTTTCAACAGAAGTAGAAGACAAAGAGTACAAAATACGTGAAATGAAATAAAATTCAAGCACAGTGACGTATTTCATGCAGCTATGTCAAAAGTAGATTTTCCATACTTTATAATATCGCCTGTACACCGAATGTACTTGTATTTCGATCATGTATAATAAATTCTACATGGTTGTTATCGCGACTTTGAAATCAGACCCTTGGCGAATCGTTAAAATAATATAATGCCCTACAAATGAATTCTACGATCGATGAAAATATAATACCGGGGTAAAATTAAGAACTAACAGCTGATATCGTTAAATAATCGAATTTCGTTATTTAAAAAATCCGTAAAACGAATATCTAAATATACTTAAAATTCTACACGATAAATGCTTTTGCTCTAACGCTAACGTATTACCGAGCAATATTAAATAAAATATACTGGATAAACAATGGCAAATTCTGGTATACGAAGTCCACTTTCAAAATCGCGAGGAACTTTCGTTTCGGGGATTATAATAGGTATAAAGAGAATTTACAAACGCCACTGTTTATACCAATCAAACGAAAAGAAACCGAGACCCACTTAAGAGTACTGAACGCGTATGTAGGTAGTCAAGTATGTAAGAGTGACATTTATTCAGGATTGTACGTTAGCTAAACGGGTTGGAGTAGTCGGTTGTAGATCCATTGTGCGACATACCCAACCAGCGATATCCACGTTTTCGGATTCAGCTTTTTTGATCCATTCGTGGTTCTGAGAATGAAGTATGATAATTGTTTCTGTACATATTAGTCGCGCGAATAAAATACGTACCATCAATGTCTTTAAATCAGCCCTCTCAGCGGGATTCTTCTTCAGACAACGATCAACGAAATCTGTGAAAGCATCGCTAAACATTCCAGCTGGCAGTTTTGGAGGAGGCTCGTTAACAATGTAATCTAATAGTTCGAATATAGCCATTGGTCGTGGACTACCCGTACCTGAAAGATACATTCGTTTTCCAACAAGATACAATATTAAATCTGAATGCGAAGAAAGGAGAAACTAACTATGTCCAGGCGACTGTGTTGTTGGAGTAGAAGCATTATTCGTAGTAGCACTCTCTGCTGGTGGTTGACCCGGCGGAGTGTTAAATATCGCAGCTAAAGTTTTCTCATCTGGCGGTGGAATTGGGTACATCCCAATGGCCATCTCGACAAGTGACAATCCTAGAGACCAAATATCGCTTTGTACGGAATAATGTGTACCCTGGAGCCTCTCTGGCTGAAAACGAGAAGACCAATCTGAATAAATTGGACTTACTAACGATGCAACTTACGAAGGTCTTCCACTTTTCTTACCGACATGTAACTTCTTGTTCCGACGAATGAATTGGCCATGGAATCGATCAGTTGTCCAGAAACACCGAAATCACAAATCTTGATCTCCCCGGCGCTATTCACCAGGATGTTGCTTGGCTTTACGTCTCGATGCATAATTGCATGTTTATCTCGTAAATAGCTCAAACCCTTCAAAACCTATAACGAGGTCGAGCAAACATTCGCAAAAATTCCACGTGATCTCTGGATTTGATGTAATCGAGCAGGTGGGCCATGACTTAAACGATTAAATAATTGAATCTTGACAGCAATCGATTTTCTAATCTGTCCACGTTATACGTAATTTGCGTGAGATCGTGAGACGTTAAATTTGCATTAAACGCAATCCGATTAACATCTAAAATGCCAACAGTGACCCAAGCACCTCCTAGTCAAGTCGTTAAGAAAAAGCTTACGGAAGATGAAATAAACGATCTTCATCAAGAGCTGAGTACCAGGGATCATTTGATTCCATTGAAACAGTTATGCGAAAAATTGAACACCAATTTGATTACGGGTTTGACCGAACAAGAAGCAAACTACGCTCTTCTCAGAGACGGACCAAATGCCCTAACTCCTCCTAAAGTAACTCCAGAATATATCAAATTTATAAAATGCATGTTTCACGGATTCGCTACTCTGCTTTGGGCATGCTCAGCATTGTGCTTTCTTTTATATGGCATTAGTATGCTGATTGAAGGTACAAGCGGTGGCAACGAATGGTTAGGATTTATCATTGCCGCGATCTGCGTAATCTCCGGTGTGTTTGCTTACATACAAGAGAGTAAGAATACAAAGGTAGGATATATTTAGTTTGAGCCCTTTGCAGTCTTACGACCAGCTATGCTGTCCAGATGTTTAGCGACGTTCTACAAATACAGGACGTACTAGGTGAGGCATTTAAGACAGATTTCCTTTGTAACACGTACAGGTCATGGAATCTTTCAAAAAAATGGTACCCACTTTCGCAACGGTGATTCGTAACGGGGCTAAATTGCGAGTGGCAACCGAAGACTTGGTCATAGGCGATTTGGTGTACATTAAATATGGCGACAAAATACCAGCCGACATCAGGATCATCGAATGTACTGGACTAAGAGTTGAAAATTCTAGTATCACCGGTGAAAGTGAACCGGTAGCTAGAACGAATTACCCAACCGATGCCAATCCTTTGGAATCCTCCAATGTCGCTTTTTTCTCGTCTTTCGCAGTGGATGGCAAAGGTAAAGGTATAGTAATAGCAACGGGTGATCGAACGATGATAGGGCGACTTGCTGGTCTTACGTCGCAACTTGTCAAAACCGAAACACCGATAGCCAAAGAGATCAGACACTTCGTTCAGATAATCGTCATCGTTTCCGTACTGTTTGGATTACTATTTTTTATATTATCTTTGACAATCGATCCGAATATACTGAAAGCCTTCACTTATCTACTTGGCATCGTGATAGCAAACGTGCCCAGCGTTCTACTGGTAACCGTTACAACGAGTTTGACGCTAACGGCTCAAAAGATGGCCACAAAAAACTGCCTGGTGAAGAATCTAGAGGCTGTCGAAACGCTCGGTTCCACTTCGACAATCTGCTCCGACAAGACGGGAACTCTCACGCAGAACAAGATGAACGTATCTAATTTATGGTTTGGCCACACGAGATACAATTTTCCACCGGGCGAAAGGTTAGGCGTCGAACAGGATTTATTGATGGAGAGACCAGGCTTTAATATCATGATCAAGAACGCTACTCTTTGTTTGCGCGCTGAGTTTGTCACGGAGTCCACTCTACTGAAGCCAATCGACGAACGAGAGATAGTTGGCGACGCCTCTGAAACGGGTATCCTCAGATTCTGCGAGCACATCCATTCGACGGATGAATTCCGGCAGGCGTATCCAAAGGTTGCGGAAATACCGTTTAGTTCTATAACAAAGTATCAAATGTCGATACACAGAGAAGAGAACGGATACATAATGATCTTTAAAGGTGCACCGGAAGTGATACTGGAGAACTGCACCCAGATACTAACTACAGAAGGAGAAACAGCAGAAATGACACAAGAGGATCACGCGATATCTCGACGAGCATGTGGAGAGTTAGGATATTTAGGAGAACGCGTGTTGGCATATTGCGATCTTTATCTACCCGATGATTTGTATGGTCTAGAGTACAAGTTCAACACCGATTCTCCAAACCTGTACAACTTTCCAACAACAGGATACAGATTCGTTGGACTGGTGAGTCTATTAGATCCTCCGAGACCAGCTGTACCGGAAGCTGTAAGAAAATGTCGCACAGCTGGCATCAAAGTAATAATGGTAACAGGCGATCATCCTATAACAGCGATGGCCATTGCAAAGAAAGTTGGTATCATAAGCGAGGGACACGAAACCAGGTACGAGAGAGCGATATTACAAAATAAATCGTACTCGCAAATAACTGAGAGCGATACACACACGATAATCGTTACTGGTTCCGAACTGAGGAGTATGGACAACACAGAATTAGATGGGATTATACGGAACTACGAAGAGATCGTTTTCGCGAGAACGTCTCCGCAACAGAAGCTGCTTATCGTGGAAAGTTGTCAAAGACTGGGCGAAATTGTTGCTGTAACCGGCGACGGTGTAAATGATTCACCTGCGTTGAGAAAAGCGGACATCGGAGTAGCTATGGGAATCACTGGTTCAGACGTAACGAAAAATGCTGCAGACATGATCCTCATGGACGATAATTTTGCATCGATCGTAACAGGCATCGAAGAAGGTAGATTAATATTCGATAATCTTAAAAAATCGATAGTGTACACGTTAACCTCTAGCATCCCCGAGATGTTACCCATGCTAAGTAGCATCATATTTGCTATTCCTTTGCCATTCATTCTTGAAATGATTCTTTGCGTGGACATCGGAACAGATTTACTACCAGCCATAGCGCTGGCGTACGAAAAAGCAGAGTCCGATATAATGCATCGCGCGCCCAGAAATCCACAATACGATAAACTCGTGAACAAACGATTAATATCTGTCGCCTATGGTCAAATCGGAATGACCCAGTCTCTAGCTGCCTTTTACACCTACTTTATGATTCTTATGCTAAACGGGTTTCTACCTGATCGTTTACTGGGAATAAGATACGATTGGGACGACAAATCTATTAACGATTTACGGGATTCTTATGGTCAAACATGGACGTACGATACAAGAATGGATTTATTGAACGAAGCGCGAACGGGATATTTTTTATCTATAGTTATAACGCAGCTTATAGATTTAGTGATGTGTAAGACGAGAGTTAACTCGATCTTTCAACAAGGAATGGATAATTGGTTTTTAAATTTTTCTTTCATTTTTGAAATTGTTTTAACCGGAATTTTATTGTACGTGCCGGGAACTGAAAAAGTATTAAAGACTATGCCTCTAAGCGCGTATTGGTATTGGCCGAGTTTACCTCTCGGCTTGTTTATGTGGACATGGGATGAATTAAGAAGGCTATGCATTCGTAAATTTCCTGACGGAATCATAGAACGCGAAACGTATTACTGAATGGCATTTAATCGCTCTTAATCGATAATACTATAGCTTTAATTTGTTAATTTCGTATTGTTCTTTATAGTTTATAGTTTATACGGGAATAAGTTGCACTTTTTAAATACAATGAATTAATATATATTGTGAGTACAGATGTTGTCTACTTACCGCGGAAGTGATTGTACTTAGTATTGGTTCTGGAATTCTTCCAGCTTTTTTTAGTATTAAATCTAAAGACCCACCATCCATGTATTCCATGCATATACTAATTTCTCCATCACTGTAACAAATGAAACATTTTGTATTTGATGTAAAACAAAAACATGGTTTAGCAGTTAAGTGAAGCATACAAATTTACCTATAAAAAGCACCATAGAAACCAACTATATGTGCAAAATTACATTCATGGAGCACTTTCAGTTCTCTAATTATCTGTTTCTTTATAGCAGGTTTAACTTCTAAATGTATTAGCTGAAATGTTACATTTCTTATAAATATTTTATTTATATGATTAGTCTAAATAAATCCAATGAACAAGAACCATACCTTCCTTGCCATTATTAGTCCATACTTTTTGTGCCTCACTTTCATAACTACACCACCATTGCCAGCACCAAGTTCCCCAAGTTTTTCAAAGTCATCAGCGCATAATTCTCCAACCTTTTCCTTTTGGCCTAAGAAGCTTTCCAGCCTCTTCCTTTGTTCCTCGTCCATTTCTAATTCCTCTAACCTTTCTTGAATAGCATCTATACTCATTTTACCCATAACTCCGCTATAATTGGAACAAGTACAAATCAAAAGACAAATGTAAATGTAGGTAATACGTATTTTCTGTAATAAAAGCTCATATTTGTTAATAAAATTGAATTACTCTGGAATTACTGGTGGCTCTGAATAAATAGGCAATGGTGGTACCGGTGGTGATGGTGATACAGCTGGAGCTGGTTCTATTGAGCCAGGAGGTAGCGTCAAATTTAATTTGTTTTTTGACATTTGGTATGTAAAGTCAAATGAGCACCACTAATACACAATTCTGCACAAAAATCTCACTTGTCAATTGTGCTTGTGGAAATTGAGGTACATGTATTAATCGATCGAGAATTTATTCGGATGAACACGAATTATGTTTCCAATTGTATTCGTTTAAATCACAGTAGACGCGTGGCTATCGAAACCGTTCTCATCGCAAGATTCGTTCGAAAATACAAGTAGTGAGCCTTAATTCAGAATGTCGTTGGAACTGATCTGTCAAGCTTCGAACTATCGAGTTCCGTGATAAGAAACAGCTTTCGATAAATTACAGAGAAACGTATACTTTGTTTAGAAGAATCGTTAATTTATCAGCAACGACCACGAAATCGCGCAAACATGCATATTTTTTACAAATATTACAAGATTAAAAAGAGGTTATACGAATCTTCCCGGGAACAACGTCAGACACGTCAAACTCATATACAAGGTGTCCGCTTAAAATGTCCCTAGGCCACATATGATCGAGTTGTCGTAATTTCCGCACATTCGCGGTTCAATGACGAAGTCTAATGAATTTCTGACGAATATAAACGATATAAAATGATGGTTCTTACAACGAAAAGATAAATTCTGCTAACATACCTTTTTCCTTGTAAAAGAATCTCATTGGTCCACTGCATCTCTGGTCAGGGATAGTAGTGCCGTTTCCACGTTTACTGATGCTATTTTCATGTTATTCGGTGGGAATATTTTAATATTGGCAACACTGAGTGTACAGGAAGTCTTTGTCTAGTTGCTCACGTGACGTCTTTCCTTTAAAATCGTGCTGTTAGGAGGTACGTATAGCCAGATCTATAACAATTTTTGAATCTACTTGCATCTGCGATTTTGCATCGATAATTGCATTGATACTGTACGATTCGTAAATATGCGATCCCAAACAGTTGTTTCGCTTGAAAAGTGCGGGGTAGAAGATACTTTAAACGATGATTCTCGAATTCCAAATCGCGTGACGGCAGGTTGGTCTGCAACACCTTCGTTGCAAGACACCGATACGAAGAAAACTGTCAATGAATTTTTCTGATTACAGAACGCAATGGGACGTTACTCTCACGAGCCGGTAAACGCGACCAAATCGTGCAAAGCACGAGGTTCAAACCTACGAGTGCATTTCAAGGTAAATGAAGAAATAGTTGTGCCTTGCCAAATCTAACCTCAAATTAATGAGACAGTTGTGTTTACAAAGTGCAACGTGGTGATGGTACGCTTTGTCCAGCGAAGAGTTGAAGAGTGATAGCTTTGTAATTAAATTTCGTTTACTTCTGCAGTAGTCATTCACAATTTGTCCCATTAATCGATGAGTGTAACATCTGCAGTCTCCATTCTTGAAACTGTAGTCATTGACCATTGTTGGCTTGTCTTTTAGAACACACATGAAACAGCACGTGCCATCAAGAACATGCCTCTGCGAAGGGCGCTGAAATATTTGAAAAATGTCATCGAATACAAGGAGTGCGTTCCATTCCGTAGATTTAACGGTGGTGTCGGTAGATGTGCTCAAGCAAAACAATTTGGTACCACTCAAGGTATGTTCCATATATCGTTCTCGAAGTTTAATACTTGCATTCGCGGTTAATAAATTCTTCGCGTTTGAACTCAGGACGTTGGCCCAAGAAGTCGGCAGAATTTTTGCTACAACTTTTAAAAAATGCGGAAAGTAATGCTGATGTGAAGGGATTAGAAATCGACCGTCTCGTAATAAATCACATTCAAGTAAATCACGCACCGTGTTTGCGTAGAAGGACATACAGAGCTCATGGTCGCATCAACCGTTAGTATTTGTTGTTAATATCTTCTGAAGCTTCAATCCTTCATACACTTGTAATTTAATTACGTTTATTTATCCTCATAGCTTACATGAGTTCCCCATGTCACATTGAAGTAATTTTAACCGAGAAAGAAGATTTCGTGATAAAGAGCCCAGAAGAGGAACCTTCGAAAAAGAAACTGAGTAAGAAGAAGCTTGCAAGACAAAAGGAAAAAATGATGAGGGAATAATTTTACATACTAGCTGGATATTGAATGTACCATGGAAAATGAAGATTACACTGTTCTCTAAGTTTTCTATTTTATTTCTTTCCTTTTTCCTTACCCTGTACCGTTTTCCACAAAAATAAAAATGGAGTCATTTATTTGGGTTAAGTGTTATCGAAGTATCAAACATTAAAGTATGGTTACAACAACTTTAAAAAAGATTTATTTTGAGAGATATACAGTAAATCTCATTATAATTAAATTTCGAAGAACGAGTATTCTTGAGAAAATTGTATCGTCTTCCGTAGTTAGAGTTTTTGTTTTTAATATTTTGAATATCTCGCAACTGTTGCACTTTCAATTATGAGTATACGAGGACACACAACATACGACAATAACGATTGTGCGGGAATGCGATCGAAGAACGACATAAAAAAAGTACATAACGAAACTTTACATTCGTATTTTATTATTCTTTTTTTTTTTAATTTACCCTGCTATTTGTTGTGAAGTCTAATATTATTTCTTTATTGGCCGTTTGAACTTGATATGCAAAATGGGAATGTGGAGCTAGATTACTGGAATATGGGCAGATGTACGCGCGTAGATGTGCTACTTTAAAACGGCGAAAGTTTTCTTAAAAAATGAGTATATAACTGTACATCGATTTAGGTCTGATGTAATTTTCCACCGGTGTCAAGAAAGTGGTTCCCGCGTTGTGTTTGGTAAGAATAAGCACAGTAATCCTCCCCCTAAAAAATAAAATAAATTATATTTCGTTCACTTCGAAACATAATCGAAGATAACGGAACCAACCAATTAGGAGAGCAGCAACTATGAAAGTTGGTGCTGGACAATACATGTCCAGAAGTTGAGCTATAACGATGTTTCCAATAATTCCACCTAAACGTGCCGCGACCATAGAAATAGCTATTCCGGTCGCCCGAAGATGTGTTGGGAAAACCTCGGTTATCAAACAGTCCAATGCTGCATTTCCACAGCTTATCACACCGCTGAAGAAAGCCGAAACAATCAGGTTGTGGTGCTTATTATACACGAAGTACAACCCTATCGAACACAGTCCCGATGAAAGCGTACTAAACACTGCAAACAAATTTCTCATGAAATTCGGAACATAACAAGTATAATTGCGCTATCACCTTTCAACGCTTATACAGATAAAATACAGCTTCGAATCTTTAAGGGTCTTCGAACACGTTACGTACCAAGGAAGAATTTGCGACCAAGACGATCCATTCCCAAAACGGCGACGATATTTGCAGGAATGGCGGATGCAACCGTGATCAGCGATTCCAAGAAGACGGAGGCACCGATCTTGTCCGAACAAAGAGTCTCCACATTCTGAGAACCCTTTTGAACGACGTAATCGGTGACCTGGCATATAGAAGCGACCTCACCAGGATGATCGCGATGAAACTCGTCGAAACGATTGAACAGTTCGGGGAACCACATCATCAGACCGTAATAACCGATGTGAAAGGTGAAGTTGATAATGATGGAGATGATGGTGAAGCGAAGAATCGGCGAGATGAAGAGTTGTTTACTGTTATCTACGATGTCGCTGAGCATTGTTTTGCATTTATTCTTCTCGACGCCAATCTTTGCCGGTTCGGGCACTTGAAAGTCATCGAGAATCAATTCTTTAACCTGTGGAAGAAATTTAAAATTTGATTCTCTGCTTTTGCTGACGAAGAAGCTAACTGCAATGCGGGTGAAACGTCGGAAAACGTGGTTGACGCTTTCAAGCCTCGATTAGTAGGTATATATGAAGTATATATATATACATATACACATGTAAGAATCATGTATTTACCGTGTAACTGTCACGCGGTTTGCCAGTGTTAATGGCATATATCCCGCGAAAGATGTCGAGGGCCTCCTCGTATTTTCCGCAGGATAAGAGGTATTTGGGGGATTCAGGGAGCAGCAGGAGCAGCCCCGCGACGATAAACGACGGAGCAGCGCAGATCAGCAGGAAGATTCGCCAAGAATTGTATGTGAACGCCTCGCTCACAATACCAATGTCGTTAGGGATGATCGTCCATGCCAAACCTGCGAAATGAAGGACGACGCAAGGTTTTATTAATCCTTTACCGCATACAGTAAACTCCTGGTAGACTTGTTATTATATTTAGGAAACCGACCAGCAACAAAGAGGTTCCCAAGCGTCCAGAAGGCAGCCATGAAAGACAGCATCGAACCTCGCTTAGACTTTGGCTGGAACTCAGCAAAGTATGACCAGATGACAGGTCCACTGCCTCCAAGACTAAAACAGGAGGAAGTACAGAGATCTGATTAAAATAAATACCATCAGAGAAGATATTTAAGCTGTTCGCTAGATCTATGGTGTCTATTCAATGAGGACATTCGAGTGGAAATGATTTTCTTACGCAGCGCCGTTGAGAAAACGGAAGAACATGAAGAGTTCATAGGACTGGCTGAAGCTGGAGGCCACGATGCACAGAGCGTTCGTGAACGAGATGGCGATGAGGACCTTGCGACGACCTAGGGCATCCGCGACGGAGCCCCAAGCGTACGCGCCGGCCATCATGCCAATGAAGATGATCGAATTGAGCCATCCCTTGGCTTGGGTATCGAGTTTCAGATCACATTGTGCACTCGGGAGGATGAAGGACATGGAGATCACGTCCATCTCCTCGCTGGTGCTGACGAACCCGCATACCGTGAGGAGGAAGTAGTGGAATTTGCCATAGTCTGAAACGAAAACGAAAACAGTAGGTAGGCTCCGAGTACAGACTTCGAAGTTTGGTGGAATTAGTTTATAGACGATAGACAGCGTTTGCTAGAGGTCCATAATTACCGGTAAGTTCAATGGCCTTTTCAAAGTCAGCTTTAACGCAGGATCCTTTCTCGGGATCTAGGGTCTTGCCCTTAGTTCCAATACCTGCGAAATTACAACGTCAAAAAATTAAAAATCACGTATTTAATAATAATATTTCCTGAATATAATGTTCATGCATTCGCTTACGGGCAAGTTCGAGATCCTTGGAGCCACAGCCGTTTAGCCGCTCGTCTTTTACATCACACTCTGAAATAGAAAGAGTTCGAGTATGGCAGGGATTCACTGCCTTCGCGCGAGGCAGGAATTAATCGTGTATAGTTTAGCTTAATATACAAGATCTGATATATTTCATAGTAGTTAGAAACAAGAATGAAAAGACATATACGTACTATGATTGTGCTTTGAGCCAGGTTCACTCTCTACCATTCTACGATATCGGCGCAGTTGGGTGAATCTGGCTTGGTGATAGGGTCAGATGAGAAATCTTCGTGCTCGACGATGGGCTTCAATCGATATTAAATTGATCTTGTTCTTGTGGATTGCTGGATCTCGGCGAACTCTTCCTGCTGAATCTGCGCTGATCTGCTGCTGCTCGTCGGCGGGGCTAGGTTCTGCGCTCACTTGCGAACTAAAACACGCCGTAAAAACAGATTTATGGTTATAACCCTTTTTTTTCATAGAAGTATATGTCGATCGCGAAAATCCTCAATTAATGGCAGTCAACCGTTGGAACAACGATACGTGGATGTATTTTGAAAACAAAAAATTAAGTTATTCGCTGTTTGCTAGGCGCCCTTCATACCCACGATGTTGCAATAACAGTCTCATTAACTCGAGGACCAAGATATAATTCTCTATGATGCGAATCACGTCCCGTTTGCAAATCGCTTTGTAAGCAGACTCTATTGTCGTCTCCTTCGTCGGGATGCTTCCAAATCGTTGCCTTTCAGATCGCTACGACCCACGCCCATTATCAGTGCAATTATGAATTGGCCCTACTTAACCCCTCGATATTGATTTCAAACACGTGATCCCGTCCCGTTATTGGATCGTACGTTTCCATGTAAAAACAGACAAACGCTCCCTCGATCCTCCTTCGCCCGAGATTAACGCCTGTTCTGAACCACGATCGATCGTTCGTATGCCTCGTAGAGGATCGTTTAATGCAATTGAGTGTCGAAGCAACGCGCGATCTGCAAGATGCGAATCTTCAACAGTCTCGGGAGAAAATGTTAACATTGTAGAAATTTTCACGAACTTTAGTCTCACAGCCAATGCGTCGAAGGGACACGGGATACAATTTGAACCCTATCCGGGACACGCTCGGGCCAGTTTTTGATCGTTCAGCCGAACAATCGTAGTAACTTCTATTGGTGTTCGGTGAATCGTGCCATGAGGTCGGTGATTGATAGCCAATGAACCGTGACACGAGTACACGTACCTTAAAAAGACCCAGCATAGCGAATATCAGTGTATCGCTCGATTTTGTTAGTATCAACTATGAATGTATAAATAAGGGGATACAGAATCCTTCGAAGATGATCCGCTCCTAGTTCGACCTTCTACGATTCTCAACGCAGAAACAGTTGTTCAAGTTTATGAAAAAATCCTTGGTCGTAATTTAACCATTCAAGAAATTCCTGACGAGATAAACATCTCTGGTTTATGGCGAGCAATTATAACTAGATGATCTTGGCATGACGGCCATTCAATTGAGAAAATCTTGCTTGGAAAACGATTACTGCATTCTCTCTATTCTGCACGTGGACGTAGTAAAAATGTCGATTCCACGTGAAATTACAAATACGCGACCTTGATTCACAGCTGACTGCGCCCGTTTAACACATAAACGAACCACGGTATGATCACTTTAATTATTACGTGTTCCCACAATTCTATTATGTTCGACGGAACGAGCCGTCATACGTAACAGTTGATGTTGCGCACAGTTTTCTCGCTACCTTTGGCTGAACAAAATCTCGTAAACCTCGAGAAGAGCATTGTCATGGATGACGAGAGATCAAGTTATGTTTATATTCGAGAAACGATCGGACTCGATAAGTTAGAAAAGGATTCTTTCGATAGTAACAGAGAATATATTTGTTTTCAATCATAAAAACATAATCTTTACTTTGTTGAGAAATATCATTGCACCCTTTGCTTTCAGTTTTAACTCTGCTATGTTAAAATCTATGTTCAGTCAGTATACAGAAGTTTCCTCGCGGTCGAATACTTTACCGGGTCGATACAATTGAAAAAAACAATTGTTTTCATACGAAATAGCATCCAAAGGGAGTCGAGCATACAAAAGAAAATTTGGGAGGAAAAAAAATGAATCATCGACCGTGACAGGACTCGAACCTGCAATCTTCGGATCCGAAGTCCGACGCCTTATCCGTTAGGCCACACGGTCGTTGAAGGGTAGTTTTTTGAAATTGGTATTTCATAGTTATACAATTAATCACCCTCCATACCATTTCTTGCAAAATGAGCTTATCGTCCAAATATTAATTCATGAGGATACCTTTACACTTAAAAAACATTATCGTCATTGCTACTTAGTTTCGTTCGTAGCGATTGAGCAATATGAAGATCATAAATTTTGATTGTGTTTCACAATATTTTATTAGTTTAACGATACTTATTTATTTTTATGCAAATACTGCTTGATTTGCATAGTATTTATTATCACGCCACTTTCCTCACATCACCGCATTACCACTTGAAATATTATTTTATTTGTGGAAGTGAGAAATTTTGCGCAAAAAGATTGATTCAATACCTTGACCAGTTATGTTGGAGACCCTGAAGGCTCAACGACGTAATTGCAAGGCAGGCGTGTCGTGGCTTAATGCCGTTCTAGAAAACGACTGAATATTAGCAGACATTGACGGACATCCTGTACCAAATACTCGCTAAATAGACGACATCACGCTTGTCTCTTCAAAACTTTCCACGGGTTACGCGAATCACGATCGTGCGAAACATTTATTCGCGAACTGACATCCTCGTTCGCTAGGGAAGCGTTTTAAATACGTTAATTACAAAGGTGAAATGATAAAGCTAAAAAAGCACATTAAAAAAAAAAAAAAAAAAAAATGAACATTACGATAAAACACAAATCCAGAATAACAGCTGTGGATTTCCATGAAAAATCGGTCACGATACAATAATAATGCGTGCAATTGCAGCACCTTTTAAAAGGTATAAATAGTTTGCGATGGCGCATTGAGGTCGTTGCACGGCACAGTGTAATTAACTACATCGGTTAAATTGTCAATTATCCGTTGTGAAATTGAGTTCAACGATCCGTCCAATGTAATCGCGATCTCCAACGATGCGCTAGCGCAGGTGCAACGCGCGTGCATCGTTGCACTCGAATGCAAACAACTTTGCTCCAGCAGGCTTTTCCCTCTGCAGTCATTTCTCTCAACTATGAAAAGTTCAAAAGTCCTGGTATTAAACTGTAACAAGCATTTTGGAGATGCAGATCGTTCTCAGCGTTTTCCAAAACATTTTTCTTTAAAATGACCGTTCATTCGAAGTAAAGTTTTTTTTCTTCATAAAGAGGCACTTGAGAAAATTTTTTAGGAACAACTGGTAAAAATCCACTTCAACGTGTGTTTAACAGGAAATGAATTGGCGAGGTTGATCAATATTTATACAGATGACGAGTTACAAATATCCTTATCAGTCGCGACTGACGTCTTGTGTTACCACCGTTGTGTCCTAATCTGTTTTCCTTGCTTTTGTAACGGTCTTTGCACTAATAATGGAGCGAGATAAGCAACAGCTATTATTTCAAAGAGAGTACTACTAAGATAAAAAAAAAAGGCAGATAATGGATTATGAGAAATTGTTAGCGGTAGCTATTTAACTTGGAAAAATTTACGTTGAATTTATTTCCACTTCGGGTTTAAACGACACCTGAGAACCACCGATTTAAGCGGAACTACCTATTAGGACCTGAACTTAATGAAAATGTGGAAGTACTCGTTCTGAAAATGGTAAAGGTCGATCCAAGAACGTTGGATCTGATTGGACAGCCTTCGCGTTCTTCCTATAACTATAAAAGGATGCAAAGGTTGTGATGGTTTAGTGTTAAAATACTTGAAGTGATTTACACGCCAGGAAATAAATTTAAATAAGCCACACTCACACGCACATCGACGTTTCCAAAATCACAGACGAAGCGGGACTAGTCGTAATCAGCAACGACGAAGGGAATATAACTCTCCCACGGAGCCAGTTCTAAAGCAAGGAAAAAGTAAGCAAGAGCAGAACGAAATGGCGAAAATGATAGGCGAAACGTAGAGGTTGGAGAAACTTCGAGACCTTGAAGGAACACCAAGGTATCCCAGAGAACGAAAAAGCTGACATAGAGGCTAAAGAAGGAGCCAATAATATTGCAAAACATGACCTATCGATTTCACTTGGACGTTTAAAGAAACAGCTAAGAAATTGCATGAAATGGGTACGAAAATAGAAAACAGAGAGGAAACCTCAGCCCATGAATCACGTTGCCACTAAAAATTATTTTTTAATTATTTCGAATTCTTTTGCAACCTCTACAGCTTTTTCTTATCTCTAAAATAAATAAATTCGAAGGAATAGAAATTTCAACGAGGTTCGTTAGGCTGAAAGGTCTCAGCTGAGCTTCGTCGATCGCTGGATCGTTCGCCAGGACACGGGAGCTCGACGATCGCCGGTGGAGGTTTTCGATCGAGCGTCGAGTATCGTTCGCGATCGCGGATCGAACGGTAGCAAAGAGGAAACGAGGTCAAGCTGCTCTCGAAAGCTCTAATCGGCGTGTCAAGCGTGTGGTACTGAAAGTAAAGCGGTTTGTGTAATTATCGTCAGTCTCGCAAGGACATAATAATCAGTCTCGTTGCCGACAAATTTACCAAAGAGAACGGGGGGAAGGGGAGGCGGCGGTGCCATCGCTGAAAAGCGGTGTCATCACACTCGTTAAGATTGGTTCGCACCACGAGCACCGCGATTAATTGACGCGTTTTCGACAAATGTTTCACCGATTACTTAGTTACCACGATCGTGGCACGTGTCCTGGACGGATCCTTTTAACTCTGTACGATCCAACTCCGCGACATACCCTGTGAGGCAGCGTTGCGTTTTATTCTAACTGTCCAAATTTCAAAATGGAGCCAACTGGTTATGGTTAGGATATCTATTTGAAGTTCAGCAGAAACGAGCACGAAAGACATTAAAATGTATACAAATTGCGTACGCAGGCATTTTTATCAAAGTTGCTGCCCTTGTGTTCTCGAAACAATGTCGACAACTACTCCACCTCTGCCATTATCATTCGCGACAATGATCCATCGATAATGTTTAGCGCAATGGTGCAGTTACCGTGTTGTGTCTAAGAACTAATTTAATCGACAGATTGTCCGATTAAGCGAGACATGAATTTGAAGGACATCAACTTGTATATTTTCAGTCGATAAACACATACGTTTACTGCATGATTCATAATTGTAAATGCTACCCCCACCCCCCTGAGAAAACGAGAGCAGTGTTTACAATCTTGTTTAAGAAATGACCTTAGTATTAATGTAGAGGTTTGTTGGAAACATGTTACTAGTAAAACAATTAGTATCCAAACTTGTGAGTTCCAACGATAATTGAAACGCAAGTTCCGAAAGTAATGGCTGATATATTGCTATTAAAAGAAAGACGAAACATCGCTAAAAATAAAATATTAATAAATGTCTGTTTGTAAATAGTAACTGGTTGTGTGCCTTTGAATATTCCGCGGCTGCATACCTGCGCGTTTTTATAAAAACTGCGCGAGTTGGTGTAGGAAAGTAAAGCGTAACGGCATAAATAATTTTGCAATTCAATAAATCAACGAAGGGGAATAGATACGCGACTTTTTAAAACGAGAAATTCCTCCCGCGAGAAAATCGTGCTTGTACAGCGTTTGATAGTAATTATAATAGTTCGATAATGTACGATATTTATCAATGAACGACTTTACACAGAGTAATTAAAGTGATCGATAAACTGTATTTTGTTTGCATTGGTAATATACCGAAAATTAGTAGCAAGAACAAATAATAAATAATAAATATCAACGAACAATTTTTACTATACCAATGTACGGATTTGTCATGTCAGCAGATACGTATCTTCGATTAATATTTTAACGAACTATGGCCGAACCAATGTCCAAGCGTCTTTTTATTTAGTTTTTGCTACGAGCGAGTATACTATTGCGTAGGTATTGAAGATCGAAGTTAATATATTCTTAATTATTAATAATAATGAAATTTTCTATCGATCCAAAGTCCAGAGTGTTTTATAAGGATTGCGGAAAATTATCTTACTCACTTCTGGGCCACAACGATAGGTTCACCTTGGTCGACTCTTCCTCGGGTTTCGATAGATCGATCGCACTTGGTGAACACGCGGAGATCGCGAATGTCATAGAGCCAGCACGTACCTCACAAGAACGTGGCAAACTATGATAGAAGTTATCAATGAACGAACTCCTTCAGCGCAAGCGCATTTTCGTAGATGCCGGTTTGTTTGCACGAGGAAATCATGGGAAAGAGTGTGAAAGCGACGCTCGATAAGGCGATAATCCTCCGTCGATCAAACTTTTCCTTTGTCAGAAGCCTCTGCCACGATTCTCGACACCAAGGCTATCGACACTCTCGCTGCCAATTCTCAGACTCATCGACTTCCTCTGGTAGCAAACTTGGACTCGATGAAGCTCCTTAGGGTTGGAGGTGTCCTGAATTTAGACTTCTCGTGGATGTATGTGGATGATGGTTGGATTTCGACTTTGTTTGAATTTAGACCTCCCTTGGCTTTGAAATTGGTCTTTTTCTTCTTCCTGGCCTTGATCTTCTCTTCAAGTTGGACTTGGATTTCTCTCAGGCTTCCTTTATCTTTGAACTTTCCTTCGACTTGGAGAGCCTCAAGAAAAGAACCCGATGACAAAGTCGATAACCTCTGAACGCTTGGAGAGGATTCCTTTGGCAGCAACCGTCCCTTGGCGAGCGAACGTTGAAACGGGGTTGATCTCGATGGTCACAAGTGGTCGTTTCGTTTGGCTTTCGACGCGTGGTTCTCGTTGGAATCGGTCGATGGTTCGCCGACAGTCAACATTTAATGGTTTGACCCGCGAGAGACGGTGCGTGGAAATGAAATGAGTGTCGGAGCATTGAAGCGCTAAAAGCTACCTGCCACCTCCCACTAACTATCACGGTAGTGGTTCGTCGGCTGTAAACGTTCCAGTGCGTTTCCTAGTCTTTCCAGTAACAAGACGACGACGACGACGACGACCATGAAGGGGTATGCCCTGGTTGCTCCGCTCGAGTCGCCTTTAAGGACACGTCGATCCTTTGACACTTTTCAGACCGGTGTTATTTGAATTGCAGCGCCACGTTTATTATGATAATGTAAACATCGTGGCACAACGCGGCCAGAACGTGATGGCGCACCTAACATTCTTCCGTGTTTCTTATAATCAAGGGGAGAAAAAGTTCTAGGTACGCAGCAGTGGCCTCTGGACAGATTAAGATCACCTAAACCAGAGAATTTGTCCTAAAGGACTTCTACGCGAGCCTAAACATCGAGGTTTTCTTGTTCTACATTTTTGAAAGTTTTTTTAAACTCTGACTAAATTATCCCGAAGAGTGGCTTTAATCTTTAAACAATATATTTTCAAGAACAATCTTGCGTTAACTGGTAAACAAACGTCTCAATTTACGCTGATGATGCGCCACGAATTATTGACCTTGTTTCGTCGGTTAGTTGGTATTCGTACGTGAACGTGTAAACAACGATAAGTTGTAAATAATTTAGAAATGCGTGTAGCAAGACTCGAAACGTCCTTCTAGGATCGAAAGAAAGTAAGAATAATTAATAATTATAACATCTAGCGAAGAACCGTGTACGTTAACCTGTGAATGGCGTAATTTCTTGATCATTAACATTCACGTATGCGCAGTTAATAAATGATATGAGTGATTTTATGTATCTTGCGACATAACAAATGCTAATATGCCATAATTTATACTAATACGAATATCGTGGTACCAGTACCAGTCGTTTGTTGTGCCGGTGGTACAAGCCCGTTTAAATTGTTAGAGGAAAGAGGAAAGTGGAAAAAACGTACTGTTTACCAATGAGAAGATGCGAGTGATTAAACCTGATGCTGAAATCGTTTCATATTTTCACGGTACTAGGACAGAAGAACCATTCTTAAGTCGCTGCTAAATGGAAGAGAGTTACGTAACGATACAGGCAGAAATTGACTTCCATGCCAGAACAGATGTTAAGTTTTCATTCAACCAGATGAACGACAAGTACACAGCTTGGGCTGTTTAAACGAGAACGTTTAGATACTTGATGGATACATCGATTACTTTCAGCTGAAAATCACATAGAATTGATTCAGAAAATACAAAATAATAATTGTAGAAATTTCTTTGGTTCCTTTCATAGCGAAACAATGTTTTTTTACTTCATCTTGCCACGCCATACTTTACTGAGACGCGTTCTGTAGTACCCGTATTACCAGTTACCACTGGCAGCAGTCAGACGATTTAAATGGCGTAGTAATATCATAATCGTCCCTGTTCAAAGTGCTAAATCGGCGTTTCTTACCAACTACCGACTCTCTTCCTTTTGATGGCCGAGCAGAAATGAGTTACGCTTCTAGCTCGTTCTACGCGAGCCTGGGGCAGATTTACGATCCTATAATTGTGATCGTATTTGACCAGTTAAGAATTAATGAAGTTGCGGTTAGTTAATCAGAGATGAAATTGTTTCCTCGTGCGGATTAATTTTATCGGTGAGGAGTTCCATTCAACCAGACGAACAGCGACGAGTACTTGGACTGCTTAAACATATTTAAGAAGACTCGAATACATCCATTGTTTGTGGATACATGAACAAATTTCAATATAAACAAATATGCACCGAAGAGACTATATGCCAATAAAACCCAATGGAAAAAGATAATAAGAAATAAAGGCATTAGTACTTCGCCGTATATATGCACGAGCTGAATAACAGTGGTGTAATTTATACAAAGCACTCGTCAATGAAAACAAGAGTTGTATGTTTCACTGACGCTATGTACATCGATGTATTAAGGCAGATGTCCCGCAGCGAATTCGTCATTTCTTGACCTATTAATTTGCGAGACAAAGTATGGTTGATGATGGCGGGAAACTGTGATTCCTCGTGTAAGGTAATATGAAAAATGGAAATACATATATGTCGACCTCGGCGTCACTAGAGCAAGGCTTATTCCATCTGTGCTCGAAGGACTGTGGCAATTTCTTGCGCTATCTTCTCCTTGTAAACACAATCGCTGCTGAACAAATTTCATTAGTAACGATTCAACCGAGGAAACAATATCACAAAAGAAAGTTTCGGTTTAATCGATTGGAGTGTCTAAAAAGCGAAATACTTGTTGCTTGTTACATGCTTATTGCAACACGATAAGAAGAATGTATAGTTAAATCGTTTTAGTGGAATGCCAATGAGCAAACAAAAATTCCCCTGATCGAATGAACGTCGCGAATAAATTGCTATGAAACTGATCGTCTGTTCGAGCCAAGTTTTGCCCATCTCTGCAATCGAACGAATTATGTCCAGCTTCTTACAACCCTGCGTAACACGTGTTCATCGTCGAGACCTTTAAAAGTGGTTTTAACCAGTTGCGTCTCTGAGAATAATACAATGCTCCAGTTTCCAATGTCCACGCGTGGCGATCCTGGATCTTTAATTACTGCAAATTCGCGCGGACAGCCTGATGCGCCGAAAGATTAACGTCGACACGCTGGATGACCCAGGACGCAGACGAGTAATCCTTCTGCGAGGTTTACCGCGACGACTTACAAGTGATTGTTTTTTTTTTTTTAGATATCAATGTAACGAAACAATAAGCTGCGGACAGCGTTAAACTCTTCAATTCGCGATGGTTCAATTACGTTACTTGTAACGAGGAACGATGGATACGACAAGCAATTGCCTTGCTTCGGAAAGGTCGGTTGCCGTCCTTCCTGGTGGATCTGTATTCGAGAGGAAGACAATCGGCGCCTCCGGATCGGTTCTTTACTCCCTGTATCCCGGCTGGTGTAGTCCAGGCTCCCGGCGCAGTGCAGTAAGTCCAAAGCGCAGTGAAACGGATCGTGAGTTGGGTTGGCTCCCGACGTGGCGTGGGGTGTGGAGGACTGATTCGGAGGCATCGGTCGTCTTCCTCTCGAGTCCAGATCGAACAGGAGGAAACGGGACTGACTCAGTAAGTCCAGTTTCATGGTCGCGACGTGTCGCGATTTAGCTTCACCCCTCTTAGTTCAAATAATTATTTGGCAGAGTCAGACTTGGACTTTGGAAATTAAAGGCAGTTTGTCTTCTTTGATTTCCACGGTTTCGTAATTAGTATTAAGCTCGTTGACTCTATGTAGAGTATGCATCTACGTATGTATACCGTATATAGAGGAAGATCGAAGGAACTTTGATTTCTTCTATCTCCGGGTCTTCAGTCGCAGCAACCTTCACGTGGTGAGACCTGGTAATCGGTATTATTCGTGACGAACAATCCTTCGAAAAGTGGAAAGTGGAAAAGTCGCTGAAAAGCCGGTAGCAACGTGGCGACGCAGGCAAGTCGTTCGATGGAACTCAATTCGAGCGCGATATTGACGCGGCAAAGAGCCAAGGAACTAAATCAACCGAGACGATTAAATAGCGCACAATAAACGTGGTTGCACGTCTATCGCATGGTGTTCGCGCGCATTCTCCACTGGTCTCTAAGGCCGTTATGGATGACGCGAATAATCGGCTTTGCGGCGGGCTCGAGGCTCCTTTAAGTTGCGAGAAGGACGCGTATCGATAGCTCGCGCGAGCCATTAGTTTTCGTAAGCGAGTTCAATGGACTCTACTTGTCGGCCGACCGACGACTCCTAACCGATTTCTCTTCCAATTTCGCGCTAGTTTAAGGGTTTTAATTCTCGAAGACATCAATTACATTTGTAGTAGAACAGAGCATAAACGATAACGCACAACTACCATCAGGGCGTTCACGAAGACGTACTCGCGGCCTTCGATAGACAATTGCGAATTGATCTGGCAAGCAAGAACAGCGTGTCCTCTCTGCCTTCAGCCCTTAAAACAACGCAATAAGATGAAAAACGCAGAGTATGCACAGAGAATTAAATCCGTTACGTTTCCTTCTAAAATTTTAATAAGAATTTCAGTACGGAAGCATAGAAAAATAGAACAGATTCTGTGTCCCGCGGAATATTCTATTATTCGCGTAAGAATTCCACGCGGTTTCGACGTAAGCCACGAGTAAATTAAACGAATCGTGGTCGCAGATTTTTGCTCCTCAAACATGATAACACGCAACAAGAGGAGAATAAATCTTTCAATTCGTGAAGGTTCGGTCACGTTATTTACAAGAAACTGCGCAAGAATTTCAGCGACTTCGCACGACACAAAGTATAAACACGTTGTACAAATAGCTCCTTCTCGAAATCGAAAATTCATGCTCCTTGCACGCGATAAGAAGAAAAATCAACTGCTCTCGGCAAGAAGTGCTTTAACTTCGCACGATTCTACGCGAGAGGCAACGCGGGAATTCCAACGACATCGAACTATTAATACTAAACGAAAACGATAAAATAAAGTTCTTTGTTGAACCCTTTCGCGATTATTAACATACATGTATCCCAGGAATTGTCTGAGGTCGTCTGAATTTGTTCGTTCCAACGGTGCGAGGTTTCTAAAGTGCTTGGCGATAAGTTCTATCGTAGAAGCGAAGCTTTTGAAATGTTAACAACTCGAAAGCTTCGAATAAAATTTGCTTTGCACTCTACTGGCACTATTACATCGACATACGCGATGAACCCCATAACTCAAAGTGATTTATGGTATCACGAAGCAAATGGACAAGATTTTGATCGCAAGCGTTTGTTGTTCGCATCAGAATATATAAGTATAAAAAGAAGCATGTGTGCGACTTACGGTGTTCGGCTTGCCAAGTCCTGAGAAGTTGCCCGAATTGGGGGAACAACCGAGGTTCGACGGGTGAGCGCAAACCTTATATAGGGGAGGCCACGAGGCACCAGTATCCCCCACTTCTGACAACACGCACACAATCGCGT